GACCCATGATCTGTTAAATGAAGAGTATACGGTCATGCTCGTGAAGTCTCTCTTTATAACCAGCAAAGACGCGGTGTAATAAGAGATTGATTATGCAGTGACGTGAGCTTTATTAATAGCAGAAGTTGTGGCTGGCGCTAAACAGAAGTGATTGACAGCTGTTTTTCACACTGATGAATGGATCAATGGCCATGAATCAGCAAACTCTTACATGACTGGAGTGAGTGAGATATAGTGTTGGATGCGTTACTAAGTCAAACACTTGAAAGAAATTAATAAATAGAATTTGGATTTAAAAATAGACAAGGAAAAAAGCAAAAAAAGAGAAAAAGAGAGCCACCGCCAGCTGAGTTTAAGAAACATTACTTTACATGGAAAGTTACATAATTAGTTACTTTTTTTAAAGGAGTAAAGCTTTAAAAGTAATGTTCCCAAACACTGCTGCACAACACCTACATGTGGTTAAAGAGGAGTCAGGTTTGTGATCTCTGAATATGTGTGTGTTTTGTTATTGTGATGATGATGAGTCAATGACATCATCACTAGAGTGCCAGCGAAGTGCTATTGTGAATTTACCTGGTTATTATTTATTGTATGTTGATAATCTATATGTGGATGGACAATCCCAACATCAAGTGTTCAACGGGTTAATGTTTTGAAGGATAATAGAGAGCCATTGTGTGTCTGTATTGTGTAATCCTGCATTATAGCACACGTGAGACCTCTCCTGTCTGAGCCGTGTTTCGGAGGAGGGCTCTGCATAGCCAGAACGTACCATTTTTCAAAATGGAGAGAGACATGAGTGCACTGAGGTGTTCAATGTTTGATTTTGTGGTTGTATGTTATGCTTGTTGGTATTATGATGATTGCATGTCAGAAATTAGTTATATTATTTATGTGACAATGTTTTGCTGTGGTGAGTGTTACGGGAAAGGGTCCCCCCCGGGATAATGGTTCGTCCCACTAGTGTTTGGCGGGAAACGAGTATATTTAACCCCTTGTCTGAGCATGTTTGGGGAGAGGTTGTGTACTGTTAAATATGTCTGAGACGTGCAGATATTTTTGTGGATGTGCCGCTAGTCATTGTTTAGTGCCAGTTTTTTTAGCACCAGTATATGTAGCATTAAGTTTGTATTTTTGTTGTTTTTGTTTTTCTGTACTTGTTTTTTCTGTCCCTTGTGAAATGCAGCTTGTACAATAAATCCCCATTGGCGTTGGGAAACCACTCCATTGCACTGAGCCTTCCGAACGTCTCCCAGCCTCTCGACAACACAACACACTACATCACAGTTACGGTTTATAATTTTGGGAGATTTAATGTGTGCCATTGTGTTTATTTTGGAGGAGAAACTTGAACATATACGGTTATTTTTATTTAATTGGTTAGTTTGGCATCCGCTGCATTTAGATATGTAATCAATATCTGGCAAACGGTACATTATTCCAAGTAGCAATTCCACTCATAAGCTTTACGTGCTTTACACAAGATTTATTGTGCATCTCAAATGACATGGAAACTTATATTGATGCTAATATTATTAAGCTCTCATTCACCTGAATGGCGTGGGTGTTAGCGTTTGCAGTTCACATGTTCTGCTCAACATCCAGGAGGGTTTGGTCAGTTACACATATAATTGAAGACTGAGAGAGAACAGAAAAGAATATACTAACAATGCCATAAAATGAGACAAATTAATTGCTTGTGAGTTTCTTTCTCAATCACACAATGGAAAATGGAAAACCCAAGACTCTTCACGGGCAAGCATTAGTGAAGGCAAGTCCACATCAGTTTGCCATAACAAGCGGGAAGGCTGGGTTTTGCCTTCGCAAGAAGCCGAAGAGGAATACGGCCAATATTTTCATCCCCCATAAGGTGTGCGACCACTTTTCCCATCTCGTCCCACTCTTGATGATCCCTTGTTTTGCCACTCATCCCCTCCAGTGCATGTTCTCTTTACTTTAACTTGCTGCATCAGTTCTGAATGTAATGAAGTTGGCCCGCTGTCTGCACTCAAGTAATGGAGCAAAAGAACAGACTGCCAATTGGTGATAGGAAAAATGAAGAGGCTTGAAGAGAATCCAACACACCCATCTACTCTACCTGACTGTGCTTTAGGCTTATTACATGGCTCTGTGGAATGCTTGATTCTGATTGGTCAATCACACATCCAGCGGTGTATTATTCCCAGATAACAGCAGAAACACCGGCTCATCCGGTCACTGAAGTCTTCAGCGCTACACACTCGCTAGGAGCGGTCTTTCCTCGTTTGGTGAGCTAATAAAATATTAAAACTCAGTCAAATCAATATTTTGTGCACAGTTATTTAATAATGTGGACTCGCTCTCTCTTGTTTCATACAAACGCAGCGGCAGCCATTTTGTGACTATTGTTTTGTTCACTGTTGGATTATAAGATACAAACAGGTGCAATTTTAAAACAGTTTAATCTCAGATTAATATCTGTAATCCCCATAATTATTTATGTGGTGAAATGCTGTGTAATAAGTGTTATGACTGTATACCGTATCTCTTAAATGTCCGTCTAGTTTGATCTCGCCGCTGAAACTGCTCTCTCCACTTTGTGTTTAAAGAGCTAATAAAATATTTAGAATCAGATCAATATTTTGTGTCTAATTATTTACTTATGTGGGAAGAAGCCGTGTAATAAGTGGGATAATGTACGCTCAGCCGGTTGTTATCTCAGAATAAACCTCTTCAGGTGTGTGTGTGTGTGTGTGTGTGTGTGATCACAGAATAAACCTCTTCAGGTGTGTGTGTGTGTGTGTTATTGCAGAATAAACCCCTTCAGGCTGATGAAGACCTGATCCTGATCACCCTGTCGGGTTTATTCTGACATAACAACCGGCTGGATGTACATTATCTCTTACTTAAAACAGAGACATCATTCTTCCACTCCATAGTCAAAGCTTCCATTTCCATCAGTCACCAACCCCCTCTAATATAGGAATCTATCAGTCAAGTTCAAATATCAGTCTGTCATCTCACCTACCAGCATCAGTTGTGTCACTTCACCTTCATTCACAAATCCTCTCCCATGGCCTCATGGGATAGTGAAGTGTCCATCAGATGCATACTTCAGGATCTCACTGGAAGTAGTACGTCCTCCAGGTACTTTTTTCCTACTCTTTTATGAGTCTGTGAAATCAGTCACTCAACCGACTGAAACTTACTGTAGAACAGTCACAAGCCAATCAGAGTTTTCGTACCTACCCATACTAATTCTCTTGAATCTGTCTCAATGGCACATTAACTGGAATAATAATAATAATAATAATTTGTTACATTTATATAGCGCTTTTCTGGGCACTCAAAGAGCTTTACATATGGAAAGGGGAACAACCACCAATGAGCAGCACCCCCTGGATGATGCGACGGCAGCCATATTGCGCCAGAACGCCCACCACACACCAGCTTACTGGTTGAGAGGAGACAGTGATGAAGCCAATCAGTATATGGGGATGATTAGGAGGCCATGATGGATGGGGGCCACTGGGCAAATTTGGCCAGGATGCTGGGGTTACACCCCCACTCTTTTTCGAAGGACATCCTGGGATTTTTAATGACCACAGAGAGTCAGGACCTCGGTTTAACGTCTCTTCCGAAGGACGGTGCTCTTTGACAGTAGTGTCCCCGTCACTATACTGGGGCGTTAGGACCCACACAGAGCACAGGGTGAGCGCCCCCTGCTGGCGTCACTAACACCTCTTCCAGCAGCAACCTGGTTTTCCCAGGAGTCTCCCATCCAGGTACTAACCAGCCTCAGCCCTGCTTAGCTTCAGTGGGTGACCAGTCTTGGGCTACAGGGGGATATGGCTGCTGGCCATATCAAGTATTATCAAGTATACTGGCCACAAGTACTCTAATATTATCCTGAGCTCAGAAATATAATCAAACAGGTCTCAATACTAGCTGGCCATGTTCTTAACCCTAACCCTAACCCTAACCCAAGGGGAAAATGTGAAAACCTTGCATGACTGTGCTTGGGAGCAATAGCAAAAGCAACTGTTGTACTGCGTGGGTAATTTCCATTTTCAGTATGCTTTAATCTTGACCAATGTCAGGTGATTTCTTATGTAAATTTACATCCTTTATTGAAACATATTCCCAACCATAGGGAACCCCGAAGCCATGGTCAAACTAAAGCTTAGTTCATGTTTTAAAGAGAAGTGAAAAGGATGCAAACATGCTCAAACATGAATATTCATTAGAAACTCAATTAACACATTGATTTCAATGAGTAATCACAGGTTTTTCTCAATCAGGAGCCAAAATCTGCTCTAATGGAGTACGTGTGATCACAGAAACTCAATTTAAAAAAAAAGGAAAAGGAGTGATACAAACCGTACATTAATGAAAGGTTATAAGCTAACATCTGATGTACAGAAGATGAGAACTTGCGAATATGCATGTTGTTTGGATGATATGCAATGTTTCATGCATCATATGATTTTATCCAGTCTAGAACGTGTTTGTGTTCATTCATTGCTCAGTTGGCTGGCTTCACAGCATTGGTCTCAGTCCTGTATCCACCTCATAATAATTAAGGTTTGTTCAGATTGTTTTGAAGGACTGATCTGTTGAGACCAGCACAACCATCAAGAAAGTGCTGAAACACATACGCAACTAAACCAAAACCACAAAAACAAAGCACTTTACTATTTTACTTTTCTGCTTTTCTTTTCTTCTTCTCTAGAGTCTGTACCATAACCTCCTGAAACTTGGTATTGTGGTACTGTGAATATTGTTGGTACCTGTATGATCATTTGCTTGTGCATGTGCATTGGCCTGGATAAAAGTGTCTGTTAAATGATTCAATGTAAGTGTAATGTAAATTAATAACTGAGCTGAGCTTTTTAATGCCTTGCTCCTCACTTGAAGTGATATCAGGCTACCTAAATGGCTGATATGTTAAGAGCAGGCTTGTTAAAAAGGTGCACAAGATTAATCAGATGTTCTGCTTCTCTTTTTGCATCATTTAGGCTGGCCGGAGGAGGAGGCCCACCATCAAGCCCAAACCTAAGCTATGGAACTGCTAGCGATCGGGGGCCAGGTGGTGACTTTGGCATGCAAGCAAGTGGAAGCCCTTACAAAAAGGCAGTGCATGATGGACCTAGACATCCCCAGACCACTTCTACACATCAGTCTCAATTTCAACCTTCACCCGGGGGCATGGGACCCAACCAAAGCCCTGGACAACACGCCTCCAGACGCAACCTCCAGGTGGACTTCAGCAGCGGCGGGCGAAGAGGCCGCTCACCGTCAGTCTCTCCTGATAGAGCTAGCGCGCCAACTTCGCCATACTCCGTACCCCAGATAGCACCAATGCCCAGCAGTAAGCTCTGTCCAGTCTGCAATACTACAGAGTTAACAAATGTTGATGGCTCGCCAAACTTCAACAAGTGTACCCAGTGCCACACTACAGCGTGCAACCAGTGCGGCTTCAACCCCAACCCACACCTTATAGGGGTAAGACTTCTGAATAAATGGGATTCCTGCTACATGATTGGTTTTATTCTTATTGATTAAGCTTTAGTTTTTGCATGTGTGTCTTCTGTGGCATCCTCCTTTATTTTGTTTTTCAATGAAATCAATGCTGGACTGGTCATATTTAAGTTCAGTTTGGTTAATTGATCGGTAAGCCCCACCCCCTTAGTCACTGTTGCTATCTCAGACAAACAAACGGAGGTGCTAACTGTCTTACAGTGACAGCTGTCAGTGTGAAAATCCTTAGAGGTTTTTGATAAATTTTGGACACAGAAGGACCACCTCTTGTCAAGGAGCATTCTAGTGGGACTTAAATGTGCCATTGAGCGATATATAAAAGATTTTAAAATAAATATGGTAGGTAACAAGATTAATTTGGAAGTGAGGACTACAGATCACAATGCAAGCGGGAGAAGCCTCATGTTACGGTCGTCACGATCGCAGATGGCTGTTTTTAAACCATCGGGTGTTTTTGACCTACACTGTACATGATGTGAGAACAGTTAGCTATTTAGGTTTGTATGTTAGCATGGACTCACTAACTTTAATTATAACTTAATGAGAGTATGACAACCAGAAAATGAACATTTTTGTCTTCTTGTGATTGAATCCTTAGGGAACCAGGTTAATGCGCTCACATCATTGATATTATAAATAAACCGGGCTTTAGTTGTATTGCGCAGATAATTGGTCCGTTTGCGCAAATCTTATCATACTTTTGAAACGCGCTGGTGAACACACTCACAGTACGGTGATTCAATACATGAATACCCATGCCCATCCTCTCAGGATACCTGGAATCAGTGATACAAGAACCCCAGCCACATCGTTTTACCATTTTTCAAATCACTGGGGCGGCAGTGGCTCAGTGGTTCATGTAGGTTGTCTACAAACCGGAAAATTGGTGGTTCAATCCCCGGTTCCACCTGACCAAGTGTCGAGGTGTCCATGAGCAAGACACCTAACCCCAGCTGCTCCCGACGAGCTGGATGGCGCCTTGCATGGCTGTCAGTGTGAATGAATGGGTGAATGTGTGGCAATATGTAAAGCGCTTTGGTGGCCATGGTTCTGTTGAAAGCGCTATTATAAATACAGTCCATTTACCATTTACCATCAAACCGATGAGAGCTTCGGATCTTCCAATGTTTCTCTATGGCGCTGAAACCTAAAGATGTCCGAGTTCCGGTCCCGTGCAACTGATTCTCAACTGCCATTGGCTCATCTGTGTTCAAGGGGAGGGGCTTACCGAGAGGTCAATTGTCGTTCAGTAAGGCAGGTGCACCAAATGTTGTATTCTCAAGGTGTAGTGGAAGAATTCACTGTCAGTAGTACTTGAAAGCATACGTTTACAAGGGTGTATTTATATTTGTAGCTGTAGTTTTGAGTAAAAATCAGATATAACAGCAATATCAGATGAAACAGAAGTCTTTTCTTGCCTATTGTGACGTATATCCGAGTGAAACGGCTTCTAGAACAAATGTAGGGCGGTTTTGATTTTGCCCGTGGGGAATCGATTGGATGGTTGTGGTTGGCCATTGGTGGATCTCATGTGAGTAACAGGTTGCCCTGACCTTATCATCAGAAGAGAAGCGACCAATAGGTGGCGCTGTGACCACATTGATGTGGTGTGGTCAGAGTAAGGTGACAATAACACAAGCAGAGTTTGGTGTCAATATGCCAACGCATTGCAGAGATACAGCCTCAGAGTCGTTTTGGCATCATGCCATCAATTTTGTTGATGCGGTATACGAAAACGGTTTTGTCTATATTTTTTGCCGGCATGGTCTGAAGATGATCTGACTCGAATTTGGAGAAAAATGAACAATCGGTCTAAGAGGAGTTCGGACAGGAGTTTCAGCCGACTATGGCAAAATTGTTTCTAGCCCCACAGTTCAAAAGTTATTAGCATAAACGTGAGTGCAAATTTGGACAGTTGGTGGTGCTAGAGGGGTTGAGTTAAAGACTCCAAATTAGCTGTGGTTAATGTTCAGACTGCCCTCTATCTGTGTACCAAATTTCATACCTTTCTTGCAAACGGTTCTATGGGCTTCCAGAGCGGTAGAAGAAGAATAAGAACACTAACAATTACAATACGTGCTTGGCCCCTTAATAAACACTGCAATATTCCATAAAATTTTCATTGTGATTTTAATGTGTCCTTGGTCAATTAAAATAATTTGGAAAAAAAAGTGATTCCAAATTCTGAATGGAGTGTGTATCTTTCTCTAAGTAATGCACTAATATGTGTTTCTTCAACAGGTCAAGGAGTGGCTCTGTTTAAACTGCCAGATGCAGCGGGCTTTGGGAATAAACATGACTACACCACGGTCCAAGAGTCAGCAGCAGATACATTCTCCCTCTCATCAACCTAAGGCTGACCCCATACCCAAGACCCAACCCCCAGCTCAGCCCACACCGCAGTTACAATCCCAAACGCAGGCACAGACAAAAATCCAGCCTCAGACTCAAGCGTTCTCTGGGGTCCAGAGACAGATTGGTCCTACTGGACCTAACCAGACTGGACTTCACAGTGGGCCACAAGCTGGTCTCCAGACACAAAAAGAGCAACCACATTCAGGTTCCCAGTTTGGGTCCAAGGATACCCAAAGGCAGGTATTAGGACCAAAAAGTCCAGAAAAAATGGCCCAACCAGTGCGGATTCCTCATCCAGGGGCAGTGCCTTTACCTGGCTTAGCAAAGGCACAATCGCAGTCCGATCTGGGGCGGGGCTCTCCAGTGCGGCTTGGAGGTCAACCCGATAAGGCCCGGAGTGCCGGAAGCTCCCCAGCCCATCACCCACCCTCCCACGAGCCACCTCAAGATGGTCTAACTAAGCTGTTTGGTTTTGGGGCGTCTCTCCTAAACCAGGCAAGCACCCTTATTTCTGTTGACCCTCTTCCTGGATCCTCACAGCAGCCCTCACCTGCCCGTAACCCGACTGCCCAGGGGACAAGGGTGATCTTTAGTGATGCTACCATTGGGGCTAGTGCTAAACCTGCAGCAGGGCCACCTGGCACTGCCAAAACAGGCCCAGGAGGAGTCATGTTCCCTAAAGGTCCTGGAGCCCCCCTTCAGAAACAGCCTCTGCAGCAGCAGTCACCAGTGCACCAACAAAAAGGGCCGAAACAACAGCAGTCGCCGTCACACCATCAAACAACACCACAGCAGTCACCGCTAAAGCAGCCAGCAACTCAGCCTCCAACTCAGCCAGTTATCCAGAAGCCAGACGTCACCTGTCCACTATGCAAGACTGCGTTCAATGTCGGAACAACAGAACCGCCAAACTACAGGTCCTGCACCCAGTGTCATACAGAGGTGTGCAATCTTTGTGGTTTCAATCCCACACCACATCTGGTGGAGGTAAGGAGCTACACTCATCTTGTAATGTAATGGACTGAAACTATTTCTTCTTTTCTTCACATTCCTCTCTTTCTCAGTCTTTAATCCTTCTTTGTTCATATTGAGTGCCAGCGGAATCCCTCTCAGAAAGAAAGCAGTTTTAATGTTCTACTGTGTGGTGGGAATTGTGATGTGTGTAGAGTAACTGTGTTCACAGGGAGAGGCCTAGACATGAGTGTTGTATTTTCTGCATGGCTATTGTTCATTCAAACCCATTGTCCATTCAAGTACATTCCAAAGCACTGCAGGTTTATAAGCTGGTACTGATAATGCGTGTGTCATATTCTAGTGTTATGATGCAAATCATCTGTCCATACGAGCAGCGAAATGACATGGGTGTCAGTCCTAACAGTGTGTGTGTGTGTATAGTAGCGGATTTAGGCATCTGGGTGACATGGTCAACCACTCATGGGTGGCATAGGGCAACCACGCACACACACACACAAAAAAGGGCTGGTTTTCAATCACTCAGTTACCAGTCATGTCAATAGCTATGTTTCCACCAATTTTTATGAACATTTTGGGATATCTTATAAACACTTGATGGAAATGCCAAGATGTGCATAAATTCTAAAAGTGTGCATAAACACATATGTGCTTAAATGAGGAGGATAAATTTTTTGCTAACAAATGCTTGAACACTAGGCATCTACAAAGCAGCATATATACACTCTGAGCGAACTTCCAGAACATAAAGAAGTTTCACCTCCACCAAACGAATGGAGAATGATCATGTAACGTCGTAGTCTTTAAGAAAGTTGCCATATGCTCCTCTTACTCAATGGCTGTGTTTGCGCTATTCGTTTGGCAGGTTGAAGTGTAAATGTCTGACAGATGAGATGGCACAAGGTAAACCTGTTGTTGATGCAAACATGAATAATATATAATATATGAATAGAATAAGATTGTCACTGAATGAACTGGAACAGTTTTCCTCTCACTGATTCCCAGAGGCTGCTCTTGAAACTTCCTAAATGTTTTTGAGTATTTTATGATTGTAAAAGACTGACTTGCCATTGAATAAAAAAATATATTATATAAAGTGTCCTTGTCCTATATAGAGTATATAATAGAGATTTTTATTTAATAATCCCTTCTGATAATCCCTTCAATATCAGATTGATTAACCCAGCATTATGTCAAAAACAACCCAGCAAATAACCCAGGGTTAATGTATACAACCCAACAAGCTGGGTTGTTTTAGCAATGATTATTTTTAACCCAGCATTTTTTAGAGTGCACTGATTTGTTTTTTCAAGGTTTTATATAAGTTAACAGTTAAAAATAAGAATGTTAATATTGTGTTTCTCATTTGTATCTGTGTAGTTATTCATTAATGACAGAACAGTATTCTAAAGTGCTACCCAGAATACTCTAAAATAATATATTTTCTGCCTCATTTTGGGATAAGAAGCAACATGGGATCACAGAAGGTTATTTCAAACACTCGACTGATGTTATAAAGTGAGTTTGGAGCAAAAAACATGGTTTAAATCTCATAAATTATCATGTTTTGATGCTGTGTCAAGCAAACATTCTAGCTAGCCCTTATGGGCCTGTTACCAGGAGTGATTATGTGTTATGACTTATTTGGAAAAGTAAATATCATTGGAATGTTTCTTCTTTTTTTTTAAGGGCATTTGATACAAAGTCAAAGATGGTGAAGTAAAAAGTCTGATCAAAGAAATGAGGGATTAAAACAGTGTGAATGGAAAGGCATCAGTAAATATAATAAAGGAAAAATAATATTTAGATCCATATCCCAGCCGGGGAGGTGTGAATGTGTGCAGGGGAGACTGGAACTGAATGGGGCATTTGCACCACAAAACAATGGACCAGGGATGTAAAACTTAGGGTACGTTTACACGACAACGATATGCTTAAAACTGAGAAGTTTTTCCTTTAAGTTTTCCGCGTACAGACGACAACATTGTCAAAACAATCCCCATTCACATGGATCCACGAAAACAAATAAAAACCATGTATTCTGCTGCCAGGCCATTAGATGGCGATGAAACACTAAAGACTGAACATGTAATGCGCATGTGCATGACGTCATCGTCTTCAGAAATTAGCATTTTTGTTGTTTACACGGAGACCGGTTTCAAAAACGTGCACTTTGAAACCCATTTTCAAAACTTTGCGTTTCCAGGCGCCCAAAACGGCATTGTCGTGTAAACAAGCGGCCAAAACGCATAAAAAGTTTTGCGTTTTAGTCGAAAATGGTGTCGTGTAAACAGCCCCTGCAGAGTTAAACTTCAACCCTAATTAAACACACCTGATCCAGCTCATCAAGTCCTACATGGTTATTTGAAAACTACAGGTATGTGTGTTGGAGCAGGGTTAGGCCATTCAAGAAATGAGTTTGATACCCCTGAGTGAATGGATGCTTTGAAGATGTGAATAAACATCAGATAGCATTTTAGAGTCTTCAGAGTCTTAGAGTTATCATCTTCACATTACCTCATAATGTTTAATCAAAATAATGTTTAATCTTTCTGTGAAAATGGCAGTCTTCTCTCTGGTGGTGTATGCCAGACTTCTCAATCATTGTGTGCTCTTAAACCCTGCCCTTTCACAGTCGACTGCAAGCTTGCATCAATTTTTGAGTGCAGTACGCACATCTCAAAATCCAATCAACAACCGATAGATGCGACCGAGTCTCACTCTTTTAATCCATTACACTTGGATGTATGTCACAATACGGATGTAAAGTTCTGTTACTACCTCATGTTTAATCGCGACTTTAATGCAATTATTTGCCAAAACTGTGTTTTTTTTTTTATAATTCACTCAACAGTTTACTCATTTATGTATTCACTCAATATGTTGTTTGCAACATTGTTCTATGTTTTTTTAATAACTTTTTCATATTTGTTACTTTGTGTACCTTTTTCAAAATAAAGATCATCTTGTGATTCTGAGTATTGAACTTGAACTTCCCTGTTGTTTTGCAGAAGAAAGAATGGCTCTGTCTGAACTGTCAGACTCAGAGACTGATGTCTGGTGGACTTGACCCTCTTCCAGTTCTACCTTCATCTCCCAGCCGTCAACCGGTGGGTTCCCCTCGGCATCAGCAACTTCCCAGCAAGCAGCAGCAAGGGCTTCAGGCAATGTCACCAAAGCAGAAACCTCCAGTTTCTCAACAGAGTGGTTTCTCTTCCCCCCTAGCTAGACCAGCAATTGGTATAAAAACATCTGCACAGCCTACTACAGCTACAAAACCTCCTGTGTCTACAACTGCTGCATTTATTTGTGAAGAAGTGAGGAAGGAAATTGCACCCAAACTTATTAAGGGGCCTGACCTTGACGATAGGGACAATAAACCAACTCTGAAGAGAGGAACAACAGAGTCGCTTCAGACACCTACAAAAGAGGAAAAGAAAGAATTACAGAGTATTACCAAATACTATGAGGTAAGCCATTAGCTCATAGTAATATCTCCATCATTTTGCAAATTTTAATCTCAAATATTTTTAACCTTAAAATTACTTTCAAAAAGAGGCCAAAGTGAACTTGTATATCTTTTCATTGCTTGTTGCATAGTATTGTCAGATTTTCAATAAACCATGCTCTTAACAGAATATTTTCAGATTTATAAAGAGAGGGCTCGGTGTACTGATTGATAGAGTATCACTCTATAGATTGAATTTATGGTGTGCACCAGCATTTGTTTGTCTAAGTGTATCTTTTGTATATGTGTTTTTTGGTCTCCCAGGAAACCACCAAGACAAACAGCAATCATGATTTATCTCGGAGCCCACAGAGTTTGAGTGACACTGGCTATTCCTCTGATGGGATCTCCAGTTCACATAGTGAAATTATTGGTCTTATCCAGGAGGAAGAGCTGAAGATGAGTGAGAGAGGTCTGACTGGGCACCATACACCACCAAGTCCGTCTGAGCTGATTAAGCTGGAGAGCTCCATGCGACCCCTTCTAGAGTCTAAATTTTCATCTGAAGGAGAAAGAGCACAGGACAAAAAGCGAGGAAAACAGCAACACGGTGACTTAAGGAAGCATCAGTCTCGCTCAATATCAATCAGTCCAGAGGAATTTGACTCAGATGAGGACCTTGAAGGCATTATGGAAGAGGAGGAAGATCCAACTGAGGGAGAGTTTAGGTCAATTGCTGCTGTAGGAGAGAAGAGTGGCCATAAAAAAAGAAATGTTGAACCTGAAGAGATTACTGATGAGGAGTTTATGAGGAGGCAAATTATGGAGATGAGTGCAGATGAGGATAATGTGGATGAAGAAGAAGAAATGGAAGAAGAGGACGATGATGAGGATGAAGGCTATGGCTACAAAAAGTTAAAAAAGACACAAAAGCACATTAGTGATGCAGGAAAAGAAAAGCGCCGTCTCACATACCACTCTAGTAGCTTTGAGGAGGAGAGTACAACAACAAGTGATGTATACAAAGGATCAGCTGAAGAGGACCTCATGGCCTCGCAAGGAGGGTTGCGCAGATTCAAGACTATCGAATTGAACAACACCAGCAGTTATAGTCGAGACATGGAATTAAACAATGACAATGACCTGAGTCTCGACAGAGAACCTGAGCTGGAGATGGAAAGCCTCACAGGTTCTCCAGAAGAAAGGTCGAGAGGGGAATATTCCTCCACCCTCCCACCTACCACCTCTAGCTACACCTCGGGGATATCCCCTACTTCCATATCCTCTATGGAAGATGACAGTGACAGTAGTCCTAGTCGCAGGCAGCGTCTGGAGGAGGCGAAGCAGCAGAGGAAGGCCAGGCATCGCTCTCATGGCCCTCTCCTACCTACCATTGAGGATTCTTCAGAAGAAGACGAATTGAGGGAAGAAGAAGAACTCCTAAGGGAGCAGGAAAAGATGAGGGAAGTGGAGCAACAGAGAATACGAAGCACTGTCCGAAAAACAAAACGTGACAAAGAAGAGCTTAGAGCACAAAGACGTAGAGAACGATCCAAGACTCCCCCCAGCAATCTATCCCCAATTGAGGATGCTTCTCCAACAGAAGAGCTAAGACAGGCAGCCGAGATGGAGGAACTCCACCGATCCTCCTGCTCAGAATACTCTCCTTCGGCTGACTCAGATGGCGAGGGCTATGAAATTTCATCAAAGCTGTACAAATCAGGTAGTGAGTACAACCTACCAACCTTTATGTCACTTTATTCTCCTACCGAAAAACCACAAACTACATCATCGACAGCTGCTACAACTACTGCCTCGAGTAGCAAGCAATTAAAAAGTGCAGAAGAAGTATATGAAGAAATGATGAGGAAAGCAGAGATGTTGCAGAAACTACAAAAGCAGCAGACACCGCAGCAATCTTTACAACAGTACAGCACAAACACCTACCAAGAGTCAGACATTAGAAACAGACAAGATATTGAGGATGAATATGAGTATACTGCTCAAGATGGTATTCACTTTCAGAATGAGGAGACGGTTGATATCTATGAAGAGATCCGCCAGACCTCAAAAAACATTTCAAAGCAGCTTGACGACCAAATGGAGATGGATGTGTCCTACTCAGAAAAGCAGTTACTAGATACAAGCTCAGCCTTTGCTAAGTTGCTGGAACAAAGCAATGCTTTACTGACTCCTGGCACAAGCCCCACTCAGCTCTCAGCGCCAGTATCATTTTCTGAAACTGGGACAGGAGGGCGGATACCTGATGTTAGAGTAACTCAGCATTTCTCAAAAGATGGGCCCAAAGACAGACTTAGAAATCAAACAGGTAAAAATGGTATTACACCAGCAGTTGCTGCCACAACTATTGCTGCTTATGGAGTGTATGCCAGGGAAATTGTCACTGTCTCTCAAACTAGTGCCAGTCAAACAGTGTCCAGCACACAACCCAATTTATATGGTCGGCAGACTACCACAACCACCGCTAGTGTTTCAAATGTGTCTCAAAAAATATCTGCAATCACTCAGGCTTGCAACCAAAGAGAAAGTGCTGCAAGGAAAATGGCAATCAGCAAAGGACTCCAAATGAGGGATAATTCAACATCATCAGAAGCTATAAATGAATCTGGCCCAAGTTCAATTAGGTGTTATACTTACCATGAAAGGAGTCCTCCTGTTTCTCCCACTTCATCTCCTCTTCATAGTCCAACACGATCTCTCGCTAGGAGAACAGCTGAGCTTTCAACTCAGACAGTTATCCCTTCAATGTTAGCTTCATCTGGAAATGCTTCTCACACCTATCCAGTTATGGCACAGGGCACTCAGACTTCACATGGGGTTGTTTCACCATGCCTTTTTAGACAGCAGTCCTCTCAAGATATCCATTTTATGATTAGAACAGAAGAGCTTGAGCCCACTAGTCCACCAAAGCCAGTTACAGTCAACACAGCAACATCTCCTTTGTCTTCACCGACAAGGTTTAGCCGCCAATCAACATTTGAAGCCTACTCGCCTCCTGTCAGCCCTCCTGATACTCCACCACATCAAATATCACCACAGCATGGTTTATACAAAAGCTATAGAGCTGAAAAAGTTAGTGTTGGAACTAGCATGGTCACCACTGCTAGCATGTACACACGTGGATCAATGTCAATGGAAAACATTTCCCTTTGTCGCATTTCCACAGTTCCCGGTACTTCAAGAATTGAGCTGGGACACAGGTTACAGAGTGGAAGTGTAGTAGATCTACGAACTGGCATAAAGCCAACACCAATTATCATGACTGACCAAGGAATGGATTTGACTTCCTTAGCCACAGAATCTCGAAAATTTTCTGGGTCTGTTGAAGGAAGCCCCATTCGTCAATCCACAACTATTCAGCCCTTAATAATGAACCTGAATACACAGGAGCAGCTGCATGTTGTGACACCAATAGCTACAACTGTCAGTGTTACTGTAGCTGCATCTATGTTCATGTCTCAGCCTAAGCACCCTGTGCTCTATTGTGATCCTCTTGAAAACAGAGTTGATTTGGGCAAAGATATGGGAACAGTAGTTTGCCTGGCACCAAACAAGCCACCACAAATTGATCCATCTATACCAAAGATTGATGCTAAGCTGGAAGACCTGAGTATCCAGCAAGAGCAGTTACTTAAACAGCAGCAGAAGCTTCAACAACAACAACAACTTCTTGAGCAGCAGCTTCAGCAACATCATCAACTTCAACAACAACAAGCTGCCTCTTTTGCTCAGTTGAACTTATCTAGCCAACTACCTCTAATCAAAAAGGATATGCTTGTCACTCAGACAAGCACTGCCACAGAGGTTAATATCATCTCACCGGCTATGACATCTGAGGTTTATAGTGTTGGAGGTTCGCTTGAGTTAAGAGGAAAGCCATCAGAGACAGGAATCATGAATCTAACAAACGTCAAGCCTCATGTGATGATGGTCCAGATAGATGGCGCTGCACAAGGAGCTACTATCACACAACTTATCAAATCAGAGGAAGGCCAGGATGCGATGAATTTAACTGGGCAAATAAAATCAGAAAATCAAGTGACTTGCTGTGACATGGTTTATAACCTGCCCTTTGGTGGCAGCTGTGTGGGTGGTCCATTCTCCCAGAAACCAGTCACAGATGAGACTTCTAAGCTATCATCAAGAACACAACTTGATTTACGGCAAGATGGACAGACATACCAAGATTACGCAATTAAATCATACACATTGCCTCTCCCTGGACGGCTTCAACCATCAATGTCTGAAACCAACCTTGCAGAGGCAGGATTGTCATCATATTCAGCCAAGTTTGATCCCCCTTTTCATGGCTCTGGAGAATTATTCACAGACACAGTAAAGGATGGCTATGATGGAGGGTACCTTGGCATGGGGCTTCAATATGGCTCCTACACAGATCTTCGTCAGGATGATGTTGCTGATCTACCAATTAGAAGGTACAGCTCCTTGACCAATATGAGCTCAGATTATGGATATTTCTCAGGTGATTTTGCAGAGTCTAATCTTGCCCAGTACAGTGCCACAACTGCTAGGGAGATAAGTCGCATGTGTGCAGCTCTTAACTCCATAGATAGATATAGTAGTAACCCTGATATATTACAGTTGGGCACCGAAAGAAGCAGTGGTCCGCCTAGTAGAATGAATCTGCACCAAAGTCCTAGATTTGGTTTCAAGTACAGCTCAGATGGAAAGCCTCTTTCCCATAGTCAAGCTCTAACTGATCTCATAAATGCAAGACAAGCCAGTCTTCGAGCTATGTATCCATCAGCTATTAGATCAGCTGATGGGATGATCTATTCAACTATAAACACACCAATTGCATCTACAGTTCCAATTACAACCCAGCCAGCTTCTATGCTACGTCCTTTATTAAGAGGGGTATACAGACCTTACCCTACACCAAATATGACACCAGTACCATTGGCAAGCCTAACTAGATCGCCACTAGCTCCAATGACTGGGCAGACACTTTTCCAATGTCCTACACCTAATCCTCTCCCTCTTACAACATCTATAAAAGTACCTGAGTCTATCACAACAGTTCAAGATACTCCATTGTACCTTGGTAATTCTCCAGTAAGCTTAACAGTAGCTGGAACTGTTACACAACCAATTCAGTCCTCTTCTGTACCTGCTGGTTCTGTCATATCAGCACCTATTTCAACACCAGTAGCCGTGGCAATGAGCCAACCTGAGATCCAGTTGCAACCAATGAATCTATCTCAGCCCTACCTTCAGGCCAAGCCCACTGCCCAGCCTCTATTACATCACCAACTACCACAATCTAAATCGTCTGCTCAACCTTATCCTCCAGTGCAGGGTCATCCTATTCCTCCCAAAACACAGCCACCCCCATCATCTCAAGGAGGTAGACCTACTGCTACTGCTATCAGAAATCTTGCTCCAACTCAGGAAAAAGAAACAGAGGAAAGACTGCATCAACAGCAGGAACAACTTTTGCAAATTGAGAGAGAGAGAGTGGAGCTGGAAAAATTGCGACAGCAAAGGCTTCAGGAAGAGCTTGAGCGGGAGCGTTCAGAGTTGCAGAGGCATAGAGAAAAAGAGCAGATACTTGTACAGCGAGAGATTCAGGAATTGCAGACTATAAAGCAACAAGTTTTGCAGCAGCAGCAAACTGAGAGAGAAAGCCAGTTGGTCCTGCAGAGAGAGCAACTAGCTCAACAAAAACAGCAGCTTGACCAGATACAGTCTTTGCAACAACAGTTACAGCAGCAGCTTGAGGAACAAAAGAGACAGAAGACTGCAACAGCTGTTGCTGCAGCCAGTTCAAATACTCAAATCCTGAGTGATCAAGCTGGCAGAATGATTCAGTCACAGGAATTGGCCTCAGATATGTTGTATAATGATGTCCAGGTTTTCTTAAGATCACTACCAAACTCTACATCAGAGATATGCTTGAGAAATAGTGAAGATCAGCCAGCAATCTGGTCCATGCGTAAACAAAGATCTATGCCTCGACTGCAAGATGGAAATGAGGGAGAAGTGACAATGTTCCCCCAAAGACGTGTAGACTGCAGTGTGCAAACAGATGATGAAGATGGAGAGGAGAGGTATCTGGTATCAAGAAGACGACGGACTAAGCGCAGTGTGGACTGCAGTGTTCAGACAGATGATGACGAAGACAAGGCAGAGTGGGAGCAGCCAGTTAGACGCAGACGTTCCCGTTACTCAAGACATTCTGCTGAATCTGGTGTAGACCACAAATCCGAAGCATCTCCATTAACCACTTCAACTGCTAAGACAGCATCCTCCAGCATTGCCATCCAGACCATTCAAGATTGTTCTTGCCAAACAGAGACAGAGCAGCTGGTTAGAGTATCCCCGAGCATACATGTCACCATCCCAGACCCCAACAAGGTTGAAATTGTCCACTATATTTCTGGTCCTGAGAGAACACAGAAGGGTCAAAGCTTAGCTTGCCAAACTGACCCTGAGACTCAGTCTCAAAGCATAGTTATTCCACAGATAAGCATTGCTACCACTGTCAGTCCCACCAGTATCCAGTTAGTTGGTTCAGCTGATTCACTCTCCCCAGGTCAACAGAGTTCTGGGAAGTTTGGGAGGCGGAGGCCTGATCCTTTGGAGTTCGGTTACCAGCAGCATCACCTGCATAATGAGTCTCTGTCCAGCTTGATCCGGCAACAACCTAAATCTCCACAGGTGCTGTATTCCCCTGTTTCTCCTCTTTCTTCTCCACAACGCATCATAGAAACATCATTCTCTTCTAGCGAGAGGCTGAATAAAGCACATGTCACCCCACAGCAGAAGTCCTGTATTGCCGAGCCATCACAGAGACATCAGGCCCTTCCCCGCCCGATGAAGAATATTCAGAGATCTCTGTCAGACCCTAAGCCTCTCAGTCCTACTACAGATGAAAATACCAAGGCTAGGATTTCACTTTATCAACAGCAAGCCCTTCAGAGTCAGGTATGGTTCATTTAGTATCTCTTTGATTGCAAACTTGCACTTGCCTTGTATAAGGGACGATATGAACTTGTGAAAAATTATAACAGTATCACTCAGGTGGTGGTGTTTCTGCTGTTTACATATATTATATATGAGGAAAATGTAATTATTGAAGTGGTCTTGACCATGAGGTTGCAGTGTGATATTAATTATTATGTCTATGTCTGCAAGCCTGAGTTGCTAAAAAATGGCAATTGCTTTGCTGGTGTCATTTTGTTTCAATGTTGTTTGTCGTTGTTTGTTATGGTGTTGTTATTAGTTTTCCGCTAACAGTACAGTATGCAGTATTCATGAAGTACATTCAAAATATGTTTTCACATGCACTTTTTTGCATTCTTGAGTGGAGTAAATTACCTTTCAATCAGTTTCTGGGGCCTTTTTTGCTTGCTTGTGCCACAGACCTCCTCTTTCTTTTAAAAAGAAACTCGTTATTATTACAGCAGCAATACAATGTATTGCCTTGCTGTATATATGGCCAAAAAGGCAAGATAATGTGTTTGGTCAGAATGCCATTGATTTCAATAAGAATCTTTATTAAAATGGGCAGGAATGTGTACTCTTACAGTTTTATATCATATTAAACCAGTAGTTTGAGCTATGCTTGTAGTTATGTGTAGTACTCTAATATATAACATTGTGTTGTCCTCTGTATTTCATGGTCCTGCTCTTTCACTCTTCATGGGCCCTGTGTCTTTGCAGCTGGCAGCCCTGCAGCAGAGCTCCCTCCTAAGGAAGGTGAAGAGGACCTTGCCAAGCCCTCCACCAGAGGATACACAACTGCCTATGCTCACCCCTAACCTATCCCACATACTTGTGCCCTCTCTGCCATCTCTGAAAGGGAGTTCTCGTTTAGCTGCAAAGGCCAGTCTACTTAAGGACTTGACCCATGAGCTGAAGGCTGTTGAGCAGGAATCTACAAAGCTACGTAAACAGCAGGCTGAGTTGGAGGAGGAGGAAAAGGAAATTGACGCCAAACTTAGATACCTGGAGTTGGGCATTACACAGCGAAAAGAAACATTGGCGAAGGATAGAGACAGGAGGGAGCTAACATACCTGCGCTGCATGGGTGATTCGCGAGACTATATGTCAGACTCTGAGCTCAACAATCTTCGCCTGACAGCTGTGGCCTCATCCTTTGAGAGCAACGGGCTAATGACCAGACCTAGCACGGCACCACTCAGCCAGTTTACTTGTGAGCTGAACACTGCTGCCCAGTTTCCCCCCACATCATCTTTCATGTCGTACCAGTACCCCCAAAGTCACCCAGCGGCACCTACCCCACAGAGCACAGGTTTCAACCAACCTCCCTATCCGTCAGTCACCCAAGCTCAAGCTCTCCCCCAACCCACCCCTTTGCAGACTTATCCAACCCTATCTTATCAGGTCCATGGGACATTTCCTTCCCAAGTCTTCCCACAGAGCCAGCCTCCATATCCAACAGACACTTCAGTGCTACCTCCAGCACAGCCAAGTCAACCAGGGTTTCAGCCTACCCTACCACCTACTGGTCCACTCCCTTATCCAACCCACAGTACACCATACCCAAGCCAGGCACCCCCCTATCCGGTCAGTCAAGTAAGCAATTATCAGCCACAGACAGACACTCTCACTTTTCACCAAAAGCCACGACAGACATCACTTGCTGACCTTGAACACAAGATGCCCACTAATTATGAGGTTATAAGTAATCCTACAGTTGTAGTAACTACCACTTCCCAAGATATCAGTTACAGCCAGTCTGGTTTGGGTTCATCTTATGGCCAATACAGCACTACTATGGCAAGCACTTATGGTCCCTACTCCTCTTCTGTTTCAAATACATATGGTGGGTCTTTAACAACCTCCGCAACCTCTGGTTATGGGCCATACACATCAATCTCATCCAGTAGTTATGGGCCGTACACAACAACTATTGCAAATACATATGGATATACAGTAACTGCAGCCAGTTCCTATGGGCAATATAATACAATTCCTACCAATACATATGGGCAGACAACACTATCTGACCATATACATTCAATGGAAAGCCCCTCTATGTACTCCAGTGAAGGCCTATATGGATCCTCCAACCTAGATCAGAATGTCCCAAGGAACTATGTCATGATCGATGACATATGTGAACTCACCAAAGAAGGCACTAGTTTAGACTCACATCGCAATGAGGGTCATGGACGATATGGGAGTGATGGACTTCACACTCGAGGGGGGAGCTCTTTTGGCAGACCAGAGGATGAACGTGATACAGATCTGTACGACCAGCATCATGGCAGGGGTAAGAGCACCTGCAGCTACCAAGCACAAGGGGCAAATACGCATGGCCGGGTAGTGGGAAGCAGTAGCATGGGTGGGGGATCATCATATTACTATGATGACAGCAGTCACTCAACACCTACATGGGCAGCCCAAAAGCACTCTTCAAAGAACCTGTGCCCTTCAGCCGTCATGTCCTCCAAGAGGAGCAAACATCGTAAACAAGGCATTGAGCAGAAGATGTCCAAGTTTTCCCCAATTGAGGAAGCTCATGATGTGGAGGCAGATCTGGCCTCTTACACCATGAGCCCCTCTACAACCAGTGGTTATGGCTCAGGTTCCCATTACCATAAACTTCAGGATGACATCTATGGGCTACGGAGTACTTACAGTCAACAACGGGGCTACTATAATGATGAACGTCTCTATGGCTATGGCAGGTCCCGTTCAACTGGCTGTGGCATGGACAAAATCCCTCCCTGTGAGAGGAGCTACAGAAGCAGGTCATATGAACGGGACCGTGTAGACCGGTCATACCACAGCAACTATGGCCACAGTGTGCGCCCCACTTTGCAGTCTCAATATTCAGAAAAGGAGAACTCCCACCTCATGACAAAGCTTATGGGTGTTGGGAGGGCTTTCGGCTATCCATCAAATTCATATGGTTCAAGTCACTCTCTACCCGATGTGCAGGACCATATTCGAGACCTGCCCCGGACCCATGTCTACAAACCAGATGATATGTATATAATTGACGATATGCATTGTGCTGTTTCTGACAGCGAAGGTAATTGGGAGCTGAATGCCAGCGTTACTGCCCACTTTAAACATCCCCCACCCACCCAGAGAAAGAGAGTGAATAGCTGAAGTAAAGAAGTGAAAATCAAGTGCATGCCCATGTTTTGTCTTCAGGCAACATGCAGCTTTCAATAAAACTGACTCTCAATGTTGTGCTCAGTTCCAAAAACTGCATGAGTTGCTGTGTGGTCTCTTTATTTTTGCCCACTCTTGTTCTTTTCCAAGGTGTTTCATTTGTGTGTGATATTGAATGGTTTTGACATCCATTTGAGATAATTGTTTTATATGTTGTATATTGAGTTTAAATACATTGCATGCTTTTTCTTTAAGCCTGGCTATTTTTGTTCTTCTTTTTCTTTTGCATGGTCTCAGTGTGCAATCGTCTTTCACCATCAGACATCGAGATTGACTGTGATCTGCTTTTGGTTTCCAAAGCATACCATCTCGGTCAAGAGGAGACAGACTGGTTTGAGAAGCCCCGTGATGTTCGTGGTTCCCGCCACTATGGCAGCAGTGGTCATTCTGGGAGGCGAGGCCATGTCAAGCACACATACCATGATTACGATGAGCCACCAGAAGATCTTTGGCCACAAGATGATTATGGCCAAACCCGCCATGTTTCCTCTAGAGAGCAACGTCATCAAAGCAGTGGAAATTCTGGTAGGCACTCATCACGCCACTCAGATGAGCCTCGTTCCTCTCGATCATCACGTTCCTCAAAGGATCCATCCATGCGGCATGACTCCCGCTCCTTGTCTTCAGGGAGGAGGGGAGACTCTCGTTCTCAGGGATACCAATCCTCAGATTATTCCCGTGACACCTCAGGCCACCAACATAGCTCCCGCTCTGGAAAACAGTCCTCCCACCATCAAGGGTCCTCCAGTAGGAAGCAACAGGACCACCCCTCGTCATCCCGGCAACAAGGATCTCTTGGGCCTGGACAGAAGGGACAAGGTGGACCTTCGAGTTCAAGCAGGCAAGCTGTCTCCCAGCCACTTGTTGATGGGCAGCAAGGCCAGAGAGCACAGCTTCAACAGCAGGCACAGACATCAGCTACCAGGTCAGGGTCACAGATATCTGCCACAGGCACAGCGCAACCACAGTTAGTACAAGGCCAGCAACTGCAAGCTAAACCTGGCCAGACTGGTCCAATGGCTCGACAACCCGCCTCAGTAGCACAGACCTCCCCAGCTGCAGTAAGTAAATATTTTGAGACATACATAATAAGTAATTTAATTAAATTTCCAGATATTTTCTTAAAAATAGTGTCTCCTATTCAGCATGTTCCTGGGAAGTTTATAATCTTTAGACTTAATGACCATTATGGATGAGATTTATGAATGCTTGCAGTAATATGTCACAGAATTTTAATTATTTTTCCTGTTCTTCTTAAATCTATGCTTAGTCAGATTGAGCCATATTAGTAAGTAGTGTAGCTTTTCAGAGTTTCAGGGTTCATTAAAGGATTAGTTAATTTACTCATCTTCAGGCCATTCAAGATGTAGGTGACTTTCTTCAGTAGCACACTATGGTCCAGATTTAATAACAGCTTGTGCCAGCGCAAACCCTCTTTTGGCGTTAAAAAACTACTGTCAGGATTTACTAAAGACACGCAGTGAAAAATTAGCGCTGAAAAGCCACAGTTATTTTTGCGGCTGACCTTATTGCATACACATTTGTAGGAGTTTCCCTTTCAGGCACAACATTTATGGGACAAGGTTATTTAAATGAATACTGCAAGGTGATTTACTAAGGTTTGCGCTCGTCAATGTACTGGTGTTTGCGCCATTATTTACCGCCCCAAAAAAAGCACTTCTTAAAACAGACGCTACCTGCTAGATTGCGTTGGTCTGACTGCGTCTGTGTTCTTTAATTTGCGCGTCGTAAGTAGATCATGCGCAGAACTTTCCACTCCCATCGGCGCCGCTTTGGAATTGCGCTCTCATGCTAATTTGACCTGTTTAGTAAATTTGCCCCTTAAGATGATGCCCCCTTTGGTGATTCATAAATGCAGGTCAATGGGTGCTTTCTCTTTGAGAGTCAAAAAAGCAGATACAGGCAACACAAAATTAATCCCTGTGGCTCCTGATGATATATTCTTATGAAAGGTCTATATATGGTCTTATGGAGCGAAACAATCAGTCTGTGCAAGAAACGAAACATTATTTACAATATTATTACCTGTAATCCATAGCCTTGAGATCTCTCACATGATGTATATGCACAATAGCAAAATAGCATCCCTTCTGACAACAGAGGCTGCCTACCTCTGATGTACTGTATGCGCAGAGGCAAAATCATGCATGAAATATATTGTTTACAAAAGAGAGGGAGGACGCATGTGCAGATCAAACGCCTTCATCAGCAGTTTAACACCAGCAAGGAAAGGAGTTTAAAAAAGGCTGGACAAAAATGGTTGATGATTCTGATGTAAAACAAGAAGAAGATTTTGCCCAGCCCTACTTGTTCATACCTAAATATACCAATAAATAATTGAGAGAGATGAAGGAAGCAGTGGCAGCGCCTTAACCACAAGCCTTGGAGAGACAGAGGGCTCTTGAGATGTGGTGGTGCTCATGTTCTCAGTACCATGCGGTGACAGCAGAGCTAGAGAGCCTCTGTTGTCATGAGTCGTGCATTGAAATGCCATTTCGCTTTCGTCATGCGAGGACAAGCTTGAGCTCCAGACTCTAGTGAATGTGCACAGGACCATTTGCCTGAGACTATGGATTACAGGTAATAATGTTTTAAATAATGTTCAGTTTCTTGCATCGTTTTGCTTCATAAGACTTCAACATGTCATCAGGAGCCATGGGGATTTAGTTTGAGTTGCCTGAATCTGCTTTCTGACTCTCAAAGTGACGGCACCCGTTGACTTGCAATTTATGAATCGCCAAGGAAAATGGGTTCATATTTAGTGTTCTGCTAAAGAAAGAAAGTAAATTAACAGCAAATATTAATTTTGAGGGGAACTATTCTTTTAAGAGTAAAGCCATCAGAAGTAAGACTCAGATAACTGTGGCCAGATGAGATGAACCTTATTATTTTTTTATCTGTTTTTCCTGCACCTGGTTTATTACAGGTCTTGCAAGGCAGCACTGTATTGATAGTGCTCAAATATTCTGGATAGGCCTTGTTCTTCTGGGCCTGTATTATAGAAACATCCTAACTTAGAATCCTATCCTGATTGTTTATCCTGTCTAATAACTTTTTAAAATCTTAGGTCAAGAATACTGCATTATGTTTGTCAATGCTTCAGTGCAGCCAACTAAAAACAAGACACATGCTATGTGCATAACAACGTCAAAGAGCTAAAAGGCTTACCTGAAACTTTAAGACTATTCTGTTGCTGCCTTGCAAGCACTGGCAATTTTCACCCCCAGGAAGTGCAAATCTTATTTTTCTTCTAATGCCATTCTACTATTCACATTTGCATAGTTACATAATCTTTTGTCTATATGTTTCGAATGTATGCCTAACACATTTCTTGTATTCACCATCTCTGTTCTATACTCTGCTCTGTTACAAAACTCCCCTTTCTTTAGTGCCTGCTTAAGTTATAGATTGAAAGAGTGAGTTATAGTTTTCTTTTAAACAGCACTTTTAAAAGTTGGTTAAATCATAATATTGATTTTGTTTAATTTCACATTAAATATGAATTTATTCTTCTTACAAAAAGAAAATATAATTACACCATATCAATTGAACTTTAAATTACAATATAAGCAGAAGTTTTAATATATGAAATGAATAGGTGTATTTTATGAACGTGTGTCTCTTGTCTCCACTAGACTAAACCAGAGCCGACCCCTGCCACTGCTATTGGAGCTAAAGCAGTCCCCGGCCAGCCTGCCAAAATAGCTCAACCTCCACTTACCGGGATAGGTAATTTTGCTAAAAAAAAACATGGCCTAGATTCACTTAAATCTCAATCAAAGGACAGCATTTTTTCATATGCATACCATGGTTGCCTTTTATTTATTTACTGTGGATTCAGTGTGTGGTAATTTTACCAAATGTTAGCCGTGTTGCTCAGTGCTCTTACTAAATACCAGGGATATACAAGTATGATGAATTTAATATATCAGTGAGAAAGAACCTATAGGTAACAATAATGTAAATATCTAGTTAATTCATGAAACTCTAGATGTCTCAGGCTGATCGGTCCTTTACGTGCAATCTGATAGCAATCACATAATTTACTAGACGACGCAAGCTGACCGGCCTCTGCTGATTTGGGAGTCAAGGAGCTTTCTTGCTCAGCGTGTGAATGGTGTTTGCTGTAAGCTGGTTCCTCTGAACCCCTCCACCTCCCCAGCTCCACCTCCCCAGCTCCCCCTCCCCAGCTCCACCTCCCCAGCTCCACCTCCCCAGCTCCCCCTCCCCAGCTCCACCTCCCCAGCTCCCCCTCCCCAGCTCCACCTCCCCAGCTCCACCTCCCCAGCTCCCCCTCCCCAGCTCCCCCTCCCCAGCTCCACCTCCCCAGCTCCACCTCCCCAGCTCCCCCTCCCCAGCTCCACCTCCCCAGCTCCCCCTCCCTAGCTCCACAACCCCAGCTCCCCCTCCCTAGCTCCACCTCCCCAGCTCCCCCGGCCCAGCTCCCCCTCCCCAGCTCCCCCGGCCCAGCTCCACCTCCCCAGCTCCCCCGGCCCAGCTCCACCTCCCCAGCTCCCCCGGCCCAGCTCCACCTCCCCAGCTCCACCTCCCCAGCTCCCCCTCCCCAGCTCCACCTCCCCCTCCCCAGCTCCCCCTCCCCAGCTCCACCTCCCCAGCTCCACCTCCCCTGCTCCCCCTCCCCAGCTCCCCCTCCCCAGCTCCACCTCCCCCTCCCCAGCTCCCCCTCCCCAGCTCCACCTCCCCAGCTCCACCTCCCCTGCTCCCCCTCCCCAGCTCCACCTCCCCAGCTCAACCTCCCCTGCTCCCCCTCCCCAGCTCCACCTCCCCAGCTCCCCCTCCCCAGCTCCACCTGCCCAGCTCCCCCTCCCCAGCTCCACCTCCCCAGCTCCACCTCCCCTGCTCCACCTCCCCTGCTCCACCTCCCCAGCTCCACCTGCCCAGCTCCCCCTCCCCAGCTCCACCTCCCCTGCTCCCCCTCCCCAGCTCCACCTCCCCAGCTCCACCTCCCCTGCTCCACCTCCCCAGCTCCACCTGCCCAGCTCCCCCTCCCCAGCTCCCCCTCCCCAGCTCCACCTCCCCTGCTCCCCCTCCCCAGCTCCCCCTCCCCAGCTCCACCTCCCCTGCTCCCCCTCCCCAGCTCCACCTCCCCAGCTCCACCTCCCCAGCTCCCCCTCCCCAGCTCCCCCTCCCCAGCTCCACCTCCCCAGCTCCCCCGGCCCAGCCCCCCCTCCTCAGCTCCCCCGGCCCAGCTCCCCCTCCCCAGCTCCACCTGTCTAGATCTGCTACAGGAGTTATGTAGCAGATCTCCACCTCCCCAGCTCCACCTCCCCAGCTCCCCCGGCCCAGCTCCCCCTCCCCAGCTCCACCTGCCCAGCTCCCCCTCCCCAGCTCCCCCGGCCCAGCTCCCCCTCCCCAGCTCCACCTGTCTAGATCTGCTACAGGGGTTATGTCTGTCTATTCATGCAGCTGCAGCATTTCTTACATGCAAGCCCGGCCAAAAATAACACTGTGCCTGCCACTGATATACATTCGGCCTTCGTGGGGAAAAACAAATGTTACACCCAGGGTTTGAAATTAATACCCACCAACCCGCCTAATGCGGGTCAAAATCAACTGTTGTGATAACGCTGTCAAATCACTTGGCATGTTACTTATAGGGCCCTATCTTGCACCCGACGCAAAGGACTTTGTACACTGACGCATGTATCATTCCTATTTTGCACCGGTGCAAAGCAGGCTTTTCCCTCCACAGACACACGTCGGTTAACTAAGAAATACACTTGCGCTCCCCGGGGCGGTTCAGCGCAAAGAGGAGGCGTGTTCCGGCGCAAACTTTCCCTCATGCTATTTTGCTGTTCTATAAAACAATTGCGCCACTGACCAGAAAAAAAGTAGTCTAAAGTCAGTGGCGCGTTGCGCGTTGTTCTTTATGCTATTTTAAGGGCGCATGCTTGGCCATAATCAATGTAGCGTGTGCACAACGCGCATACACTTTGATTCTCTCATCTAAGCACCAGTTTTTATTTTCGCAAATCATACATTATTACGATAGATAGATAGATAGATAGATAGATAGATAGATAGATAGATAGATAGATAGATAGATAGATAGATAGATAGATAGACAATTTATTATAAAAGCATACATGTAGCTTACACATTTACCCAAATTATCATACGCCTGTTTAACAGAAGCTAATTTGGGTGGGTTTCTCCATCCCCAATGTCACTTCTCTGTGTTTTACGGCCCTGACGAGAACGTTGCTCTCCTCGCTGTGAACCGCTCCTGGCGCGCGCCTGGCAAATCCGCCGTTATAATAGGAATCCGCTTTAGAACATGCGCACCTGCTCTTAAAGGGAATGTGAGATGACGCTCTGATTGGTTTATTTCACGTTACGCCCAAACCACACCTATGAATAATGAAGCTACTTCAGACCAACCCCTTTTAGATTTGCGCCAGGCGCAAGAGGCATTTATCCCGCCGGGAAAATAGCAACAGCGCCGGGATCCGCCCACAAAGTTACTTGCGCTTTGCGCTTTGACACTTGCGTTTCAGATCGTTAAAATAGGGCCCTTAATGTTTATTCACAGACACATTTATATATCTTATACACACACACACGCACACACATATATATATATTCAAGCTGTGACGTAGCTAATCTGGTTAATTTCTTTTTTTTGGCTAGTAGAGGTTCTGAATGGCCGGTAACTTAAAAATGTAGTAGTCAAATTGGCCAGTGAGGGAAAACACTTCATTTCAAACCCTGGTTACACCAAATAAATTAGTGAAGAATTAGTGTATACTTTTGATCTGTAAATATCGGCAGGACAGCCATGTAATGACAGTATATACTTCAAAGAAAATATACTGTATACTATAATGATGAGTCATCATACATGAAACTCTTCATATTTAGTAAAAGCAATAAAAAGCATGGGTGCATGAAAGGAAACGTGGCCCGAAATAAAGAGACAGCAATTTGTGGAAAAATGTCATTTTTGAAATGGCGATATTTCACGTCATGCCAATGAGAATCCGCTTCTGTTGGCAGAGATGTTCTATACATGAATTTCAAGCTGGGTTCAAGTTTGGTGAACTTGACATTTTTTTTATTTGGCAGTGGCATCTTTGTGAGGGGTGCTTTTTGATAGTTACACAACGAACAAGGCAATAATTCAAGCGGTCTACTCAACCACTTCTTTATAATGCCACTGTTCAAGGGAGATAAAGTGCTGTACATGTGCTCTGTACTGTGTCTTGAGGATTCATGAGTGTCTGATCATTACATTTTCTTGGATTACTATTTTTCCACCCATATCCGTATGAAGTGGGATATATGTGTCTGTTGACGATGTTCCCGTGATTCTCTAGGCTCCAAGGCTCCTCTAAGGCCCGGTGGGATCGGCAGTGCCGCCGCGGGTCAGACGGGTCCGATGGGTGTAGATGGAGACGGCCTTATGTCTAAAATTCTGCCAGGAGGAGCTGCAGAACAGGCTGGGAAATTAGGAGAAGGTGAGCAGAGTTTCCAAGATGGAACTAGTACTTTTAGTCTGTTACTATTAAAGCATTAGTTCACTTCACAATGATAATTTCCTGATAATTTACTCTCCCCCACGTCATCCAAAATGTTCATGTCTTTCTTTCTTCAGTGGGAAAGAAATTAAGGTTTTTGAGAAAAAACATTCCAGGATGTTTCTCCATATAGTGACTTCAATGGGGTCCAACGGGTCGAAGGTCCAGATGTGAGTTTCAGTGCAGCTTCAGAGTCTCGACACGATCCAGCCGAGGAATAGCTAGAGCAAGACCAGCATTTGTGGTTAAAAAGTATATAAATGTTTATTTTGTTATAAAATGTCCGCTGGTTTGTCTAGATCACTCTTATTCCTCGGCTGGATCGTGTCGAGACTCTGAAGCTGCACTGAAACTCACATCTGGACCTTCGACCCGTTGGACCCCATTGAAGTCACTATATGGAGAAACATCCTGGAGTGTGTTCCTCAAAAACCTTAATTTCTTTCCCACTGAAGAAAGAAAGACATGAACATCGTGGATAGCGTGTGGAAGAGTAAATTATCAGGAAATTTTAATTCTGAAGTGAACTACTCCTTTAAAGGCCTAGTTTAAGTAATGCATGGGCCAGTCAATGAGTATTATTAATCAATGTTTTTTCTGAAATATTTTTCATTTGCAAAAAGGCATGTAATTAATTGTAGAATACTTTTTATAACCAATATTAATCTCTTGGTTTTCTCCTTTTATTTTCACTTTTTTCTGTGACTGGCACAGCCATCTCTGGGTTTGGCAAGAAGTTCTCCTCCTTGTGGTGAGGAAGTACAATTAAAGGTGGGTGCAATTACTTTAGTGGTCAGATTATAGAATAACGGTCCGTCATTAATAAGCAACTCTGCAGAAAGTAATGCAGCACAAATGAGAAGAACTAGATTAACACTTCAGCTACTACTAACTCATTTGGAAACAAGCTTAACTAATCAGTAAGAGATATCAAATTTAGAAATGAGATAGTGCCATATTAGGTAATCAATAATGTTTACAGAATGTGATTAGCTTCATATAATAACTATAAACTATGACAAATTATAAAGAATTATCAATTACAGTGGGGTGAGAGATTGAACAGTTGACTGAATACAGTGCATTATAATAAGGTGGCATATTTTTAGCTTTACAGTGATTATTGTTATTTTTTCTGTGTTATTTCAGGGTGTCTACAATGACAGAGGACATTTTTGCACTGGAAAAACCTATGAAGTTTCGCTATAATGTTTTAATTTAAAGAGAAGACAACACAAGAAAGTGAGAGGGAGAGAAGCTATCTGGTCGTTCTGGTAAGGAAAATAAATTATGATAAGTATAAGATAAAACTTCATGCATATTATATTAGGCCTGTGTGGTATCATGTATGGAATAAAAAAATGACAAATGTTTTTGAAACAAAAAAGCTTGTTGAATTGCACTACTTGAAAAAATATGCATTGCATTAACCCTGCTTGCATTTTAATGGGCTGAAATGTATTCACAATATATTAATATATTTCTCTCGGTTGTTTAGTTTTCTTAGTTTATTAATGAAAACGTGTGTAAAAAGTTTTTAATTGAAATATTCACAGCTTAAATATACAATCATGTTGAATTTCAAACAATTAAAATGCAAGCAGGGTTAATGCAATGCATATTTTTTTCAAGTAGTGCAATTCAACAAGCTTTTTTGTCATTATTTTACTTCCATAATCATGTCCGTTACTGTTAGAAATAGTTGGTGATATTGCAACGTTTTGTAAAAAACATTTTGTAGAATAGAATTTGTTTTTGTTTTTTTGTTTTTGTTTTTTTAAGCCAACCAGGACTGGAATCACAGGACTCTACCAACTCAAGGTCATAATTCAATGGAGACAACACTCTTCGCTCTGAAAGCCTGTAAGTATTTTTAAAATGTGAAGTTTTGAAAGGACATAGTCTTAATCCAGGGGTTGGAAAGATGGATTGGTGACAATGGGGATTGGTTTGATTGATAGAGAAGCGTTGGGTCGAGCATCAGCTGGAAAGGCCGATTCAGACAGCAACATAGTGTCGGCCCAGATCCGGCCCACATCTGGTACACATGTGTACACATGCTCATAGCCGCGTTTCCACTGTCGGGCCAAAAGCGGGCGTGCTAGTGCGTGCCAGGGCCAGTCGCGTTTCCACTGTCACTCCCGGGCTTGATCGGGCCTCGTCGGGGCTCCTCGGGGCCAACGGCCAGGGTTTCTGGACCGCCGAACACCTTGGTCCACAGCGGGCCAGCTCGGGCTAGAGGAGTGGTTACGAACAGGTTTACCCGAGTCTGGAGACGCCAGCGCCGGAGGATTTCAGCTAACATCAGCATTAAAGACTAATTTACCTCAAAACTCACTTTCATGTTTGAAAGCCTTCTGTTTGTGATCCGATGTGGATTCTGATCACCGTATAAGGCAGAAATATTTATACGCGATGCAAAAGACTAGTGCCCAAACCATTACCATAGTAAACATGGTAAATATGACCGCTTGAAGAAATCAGACAAATCATAAAGGCTATCATAATCATATTTTTATTTTATCTGTCAGTAGCCTCGTCTCTTTATACCGGACTATCATAAAATAAAGCTTTCTCTGTTTCTCTGACTGAAAATAAAACTTAGCTAACTACTGTAGCCTACTGGGAAAGCTCATCAGGTCGTATTTTTGGTGGCATATTTGTAGAAATTATAATTCTTTCTAAATGTGATGTAAATATGTCCTGTATCTACCAAATAAACAGAAACAGCCTCGAAGGAATAAGTAAGTCTGTCCTCTTTCTTTTGTGAAATAGCCTAGACCTAACGGTATACCATTTCTATGTGACTAATGTCCAATTTTGACACAAATTAATTCATTATGATCAATGTGTCACTTTTTATTGTAAACCTGTGGTAAAACATCGATGCTGGGGTTTTAAATATTCAAGTAAACAAAAAAAATGGCAGCAAACGGTCACTTTTATCATGTTTGTTTTTCGATCTCGCTGTTTCTAGCGATTTCTTTCTGATTAGTTTTCTGATAAAACTTCCATTTGTTGGTGAAATGATGGGTGTGTGTGACGCTGTTCAAGAGAGGCGTGTTACGGGCGGGTTTTAGTGAAGCGCTGCAGAGACAGTGGAAACGCGGAAGATTTTGGGCTCGGTGCTCCAGACCCAAGGCTATTAGCCCTGCCCGCCGTTTAACCCTCTGGGGACCAGAGTGTTTTTGGGGCCCTTGGGATGTTTTGACATGCACTGACATTTGTGCTTTTTTCAGTTATTTATAAACATGTTAATGGCAAAGGTGTAAATTCACTCTATATAGCACAAACTTGGCATCCATGATATCTGAGCAACATGTATGTACATGTTTGTATTTTTAATAGAATAATGTTTATGCGTGGTTATTGAAAAAAATAAAAATAAAAGTTGCTGAAATAAGACCACAAAACACATATTGATTATTTCTTCACAAGACTTTTGAAAATTGTATCACATAGCCTAGAATATTTGCTCCAAAACTATGTGAGAATCATCCTGACTACTCATTCAGATAAGTCAATAAAGTCTTTTACATTTTTAATGACGTGTTTTGTTTGAGAAAGCTTTATGCAGGAGGCTTGATCTCTCATTAATATGTATGGCATTCCACACCTGAGAAAGACAAAGACCCTCCCATAATGGCCCTATTAGGTGCTATCAGGCCATATCATTACAGGAGCCTTGCACAAAGAATGAGGAGATTTAAAAAAGAATGGCTTTTAGATTGTTTGGATTTATATAAGGAAAATACAGGGTGCATACGTCTGGACACTTCTATCACACACCCTTCACCATATAGACATGGTTTTATTTCAGTTCAAAGTTAGAGTTGGAAACATCTTGAAAAGAAAATTGTCTTTCTCCATAAATGTCTTAGTTTGATCATACATATTTCAAAGTTGAGGATTCATTATTTTGATATAGCTTGAACAAACACTATAACATCTTAGTTGATTAGTTTATTGACAAAACATAGGCCTACTATATATTTAACATATGAGCAGAAACTCCTAAAAAAGCTTATTTGATGTCTATTTTAGAGTAAAAACTTTATCCAAAACGAGAAATGTTGTCTGTTATTTAGTCTGTAACAGTGCGTATCTGTGCGTTCATTCATTCATTCATTCATTCATTCACACACACACACACACACACGATTCACATTTAACAGTATGCTATTTTTCCGTTTACAGACACTACGTTATTCTATATCGCGATTAGAACAAAGCACTTGCATAAAACACTTACTTCTCAGCTGAATCTGTTCATCCTCGCAGTGAAAATAAATCCAGTGGTAAGTGTCCCAGGATTGTTCCTCATATAGCCGCGCAAGACGACAGTAGATTAATCTGACTAAAAAATAATGTGTGTTTTCAGAGTTTATGGGCGTTAACGCGTCTCAATGTTTTGCTTCACATATTTGCGTTTGAATAGCGCGTGCTCTCCGTGGGCGTGTCACATTACCAGGGATAATCAGCTGAGAGAACGATAATGAGACGGGCTGACACGTCTCTCTTTTTATATAGATGACATAAACGGAGAATAATAATTTTAGTTTTGAATCGGATCATTTAAAAGTACAAACTCAAATGATTTAAAAGATATATTGCTTATGGCTGGGTGAATAGTTTTAGCTGAGTTGTGTTGAAGATTAGAGACGTGCTCCAGAAAAAAAGTTCACGGTGACCGAGAGGCAGAACGCACACCCTGTTTATTTTCTTTATTTTACAAAAGCACAATATTTTATTTCGATTGTATGTGGGCACATAAAAAAAGTAGACATTTAACAGATTATTTTCTCATATTTCTTAACTCTATATGAACAGAAATGATGGTAGTACTTTAAGTCTATTTTTCTGCTATGTGAAAAAAAACGAGCAAAACGCGCCCGCGCGTTTCTGGTCCCCAGAGGGTTAAAGCCCGCTCGCACCGGCCCGACAGTGGAAACGCGGCAGATTTTGGGCTTGGTGCTCCAGACCCGAGGCTATTAGCCCCGCCTGCCCGTTTAAAGCCCGCTCGCACTGGCCCGACAGTGGAAACGCGGCAGATTTTGGGCTTGGTGCTCCAGACCCGAGGCTATTAGCCCCGCCCGTCCGTTTAAAGCCCGCTCGCACCGGCCCGACAGTGGAAACGCGGCAGATTTTGGGCTCGGTGCTCCAGACCCGAGGCTATTAGCCCCGCCCGTCCGTTTAAAGCCCGCTCGCACCGGCCCGACAGTGGAAACACGGCAGATTTTGGGCTCTGTGCTCCAGGCCCGAGGCTATTAGCCCCGCCCGCCCGTTTAAAGCCCGCTCGCACTGGCCCGACAGTGGAAACGCGGCAGATTTTGGGCTTGGTGCTCCAGACCCGAGGCTATTAGCCCCGCCCGTCCGTTTAAAGCCCGCTCGCACTGGCCCGACAGTGGAAACGCGGCAGATTTTGGGCTCTGTGCTCCAGGCCCGAGGCTATTAGCCCCGCCCGCCCGTTTAAAGCGCACTCGCACCGGCCCGACAGTGGAAACGCAGCAGATTTTGGGCTCGGTGCTCCAGACCCAAGGCTATTAGCCCCGCCTGCCCGTTTAAAGCCCGCTCGCACCGGCCCGACAGTGGAAACGCGGCAGATTTTGGGCTCGGTGCTCCAGACCCAAGGCTATTAGCCCCGCCTGCCCGTTTAAAGCCCGCTCGCACTGGCCCGACAGTGGAAACGCGGCAGATTTTGGGCTTGGTGCTCCAGACCCGAGGTTATTAGCCCCGCCCGTCCGTTTAAAGCCCGCTCGCACTGGCCCGACATTGGAAACGCGGCAGATTTTGGGCTCGGTGCTCCAGACCCGAGGCTATTAGCCCCGCGACACCGTCCGCTTAAAGCCCGCTCGCACCGGCCCGACTGTGGAAACGCAGCAGATTTTGGGCCCGGTACTCCAGACCCGAGGCTATTAGCCCCGCCTGCCCGTTTAAAGCCCGCTCGCACTGGCCCGTTGGTGAAAACGCAGCAGGTTTTGGGCCCGGTGTTCCTGACCCGAGGCTATTAGCCCCGCCCGCCCTTTTAAAGCCCGCTCGCACTGGCCCGACAGTGGAAACACAGCAGGTTTTGGGCCCGGTGTTCCTGACCCGAGGCTATTAGCCCCGCCCGCCCGTTTAAAGCCCGCTCGCACTGGCCCGACAGTGGAAATACAGCAGGTTTTGGGCCCGGTGTTCCTGACCCGAGGCTATTAGCCCCGCCCGCCCTTTTAAAGCCCGCTCGCACTGGCCCGACAGTGGAAACACAGCAGGTTTTGGGCCCGGTGTTCCAGACCCGAGGCTATTAGCCCCGCAAGCCCTTTTAAAGCCAGCTCGCACTGGCCCGACAGTGGAAATACAGCAGGTTTTGGGCCCGGTGTTCCAGACTCGAGGCTATTAGCCTCGCTCGCCCTTTTAAAGCCCGCTCACACTGGCCCGACAGTGGAAACACAGCAGGTTTTGGGCCCGGTGTTCCTGACCCGAGGCTATTAGCCCCGCCCGCCTGTTTAAAGCCCGCTCGCACTGGCCCGACAGTGGAAACCCAGCAGATTTTGGGCTTGGTACTCCAGACTCAAGGCTATTAGCCCCGCGCGCCTGTTTAAAGCCCGCTCGCACTGGCCCGACGGTGAAAACGCAGCAGGTTTTGGGCCCGGTGTTCCTGACCCGAGGCTATTAGCCCCGCCCGCCCTTTTAAAGCCCGCTCGCACTGGCCCGACAGTGGAAACACAGCAGGTTTTGGGCTCTGTGCTCCAGACCCGAGGCTATTAGCCCCGCCCGTCCGTTTAAAGCCCGCTCGCACTGGCCCGACAGTGGAAACACAGCAGGTTTTGGGCCCGGTGTTCCTGACCCGAGGCTATTAGCCGCGCCCGCCCGTTTAAAGCCCGCTCGCACTGGCCCGACAGTGGAAACACAGCAGGTTTTGGGCCCGGTGTTCCTGACCCGAGGCTATTAGCCCCGCCCGCCCTTTTAAAGCCCGCTCGCACTGGCCCGACAGTGGAAACACAGCAGGTTTTGGGCCCGGTGTTCCAGACCCGAGGCTATTAGCCCCGCAAGCCCTTTTAAAGCCAGCTCGCACTGGCCCGACAGTGGAAATACAGCAGGTTTTGGGCCCGGTGTTCCAGACTCGAGGCTATTAGCCTCGCCCGCCCTTTTAAAGCCCGCTCACACTGGCCCGACAGTGGAAACACAGCAGGTTTTGGGCCCGGTGTTCCTGACCCGAGGCTATTAGCCCCGCCCGCCCGTTTAAAGCCCGCTCGCACTGGCCCGACAGTGGAAACCCAGCAGATTTTGGGCTTGGTACTCCAGACCCGAGGCTATTAGCCCCGCCCGTCCGTTTAAAGCCCGCTGGCCCGACAGTGGAAACGCGACTATGGATTCCACACGGCCCGGATGTGGGCCGGATCTGGGCCGACACTATGTTGCTGTCTGGGATGGAAGAATCCTGGAAATTCGAATCCAATTTAGCCAGCCAATGTTGTCTAATCTATAAAGGTATTAAAGTCCACTCAGGGCATGGATGTATTAGGGTTAGCTGACCCAAATATGATAATTCACTCTCAATCTCAATTACTGATGTGAGTCTGATGGGAGAGTTGGCTGGGGGAACCTGTTTGAAAATATTCATTACTTTCAAATTTGACGTTAAAAAAGTCTGTCATTGGATTGTAATGCCGTCTTTGTGTTCCATATTGTTCTTCTTCAGATGATTTGGGAATTCAGTATCTGTGTTCCATCCGAACGGCATGGCCAAAGATATTACCATCTCTGAGAGCCTCCAGCTCTCGGCCGACAGAACACCGTTTGGGAGACAGACAGAAAGAGAGCGATCAGCACACGACGCAGGTCGATAAAGCCGACAGTCAATCCTGGAAACACGCTGACACGATCCCACTCCAGTTACTTACAAAGAAGTGTGATTCCCTGTTTCTCTCGGGAAACGCTCTTCACTCCCCTCTCAGGATCCGAAGAAACAGCCAAGTTTGAACACTTAGAAAAACTTCATAGGTTTTTCCTAAAAGAAGAAGAAAAAAAAGGCAAATCATGAACATGGTTACTGTAACACACATCTCTATGCTAAGTCCTTTAACTCGACATTCCAGAATGAGGAAGAAAAAAAAAAACCTGTTTGTTTGTTTTTGTCTTTTTTTGTTTTCCTTCTCTTGCTATGTGCTATAAAAGTGTAAAGTGGACTCGGAGTGCATGTAATCCAAGACCTTACACTGTTCACGGTATCAGCGAGAGATCGACGATGAGTTCATACTCGAGCAGAGAGAATAAGAAGAGGACAAGCCCAACACACGAGACGTCGTAAGAGATCAGGTTCTGGCCGATCAGGTCTTTTTTATTCATTATCCTTTCCAAAGTGTTCAGAAATCGTCCTCAGGCTGCGGATGGGGTATTTTTACAACAACTGGACGGTATCGGCGAGTTGGAATATTGTGCATTATCTTTTTTCGTTTAGTTGTTCGATTGTCGCCTTACTATGTTTGTAGATATTTTTCTATTCACAATTTCTATTTTGTTTATTTATTTCGCATTGTTTGTATATGGAAAAAGTTTATTTCTATTTTTAAATTTTTTAAATAATTGCATTAAGTTTCTTCATTTTTTCATTGCTGTTTTAAATCCATTGTCACTTGTTTACAGCTTTTCTTTTTTTAAATATATTTTGTTTGAGTTTATTTTGATCAGTTTAGAAATAGATCAAAAGCAATAGATGATGGTGGTCAGTCGGTAAAGAGCACAATTGTTCGATGTTTTTACAGTCGTGGTGAGGAGAGTCTGTAATATATCTCTATGGTTCAGGATCACTGTCTATTGAGTCGTTAAAATAGTGATGCCCAGTCTCTTACGATAACACATTAGGTGTCAAAGCCATGTTTCTTTTAAAAGATTTTTTATTAAATAATGGTAATAATTAAGAATAACACAAAGCTAGTTGGAGAAATAAAGGAGATGTTTAGTGGAATGTTGGATCTTTTAAGCAAGTAGAGATTGCATGTTCAAAAAAAAAATATATTGATATTGCTATATGTTCTAATGGTATGTGTGAATGATTTTGGATGTGTGTTTGTATGCATCTGCATTTGTTATCATTCAATCAATCAATCAATCAAAAAAAAAAAAAAAAATCTGACCAACAACCAGAAACGAAACATTTGGTCAGAGGACTTTACATTTCAGACCTTCTATGCAATGAACTTCTCATCTGAGAGAAAAAAAATGGTTGATAAAAGGAAATAAAACACCTAATCTAAGTAGTTTCACAAATGTTATTAGGGGGCTGATTTGTTTGTATAAGAGAAACTGTACTGTAAATAACCAATCTGAATGGAAATTTCGTTCCCATATTTGTGGCATGTTTCCCATCGTTGAAGCGGAGCCGATTAGCCATAGCGATTAACATGAACGCCAATCATCTCTCTGTCCACGGATGGTCGTTGCCGCTATAGATTGAAAGATATATATGATATAGCTGGTGCAATACTTTAATACAAGTATGATATATGAGGAGGTTTATATTTGAAGGGCTGCCCGTGATTCGCTCGTGTACACACTGCATTCACATCTGTGTGTTCAGGCTTGTTTATATGTATTGGGATATATTTATTTTTTCAAAAAGAAGTTTTAAATGACTAGATACCGACATTTAATAAATCATATTTTATTAAACAAATAGATATTATGTAAATGGCTTAGTATGTATATGGGGCAGCACCTGAGAGAGTTATATGATGTATAATGTTTAGATATATATAGTAAAGCACCGACAGAAAACGGTTTGTACTGCAATATCGACTGTGTTAGCTTTCATTCTGTCCCATTGTGCATGTGTGCGTCTGATCCGTTCACCTCAGGAAAGCATAGACTTAATGCACCAAGGGGAGATACTATATGCATAGATATAAGGGCTTAATTACAATACCAAGAAAGCCATTCATTCTTACACCCTAGGTTTGATTCATTAGGGCTTTTGACTGTGATGTATGTCAGGGAAAGCAGATCACCTGCCATTATCTGTTTATTTATTCACTCGTGCATCGTCATCCTTTTACTGGGTTAGAAAACAGTTACTCTTGTAGGATTAGTGGCAAACACATAAACAGGTCGGCATAAAGGACACAATCAGATAAATCTGTGTTTAGAGTACCTTGAGAAGTGCATGGGCCTCGCCCCGATCCTTCGCTGCTCCGCCATCTCACCCAAACACATGAATATATCTGTAAAACATGTAAATTGTACTATACTTCTGCACACGAAACATTCAAAGCAAGGTGTAAAATGACCTGGTGTTGTGTGTAAATTAAGTCTTAAAAAAAGGAGCATCACGACATAAACAGAAACCAAATAAACACATAAATATTCAAATGAATCACACTGTGTATGTGACCGGCTCATGTGGACTGTTTGGAAATGTAAAAAAAAAAAAAAAAAAAAAATGTATTGAGACATTTTTGGTCTATGGTCTATACTTGTTGTGATTGTAAAAGACTCTTTTTTTCTTTTTAAAAAAAAAAGAGAAACCGGCTTCCATGTAATTTGTGGATGGGGAATTTAAATCGACATGTATTTTAGAAAAAAGAAGAAAAAAACAGACAACAGTTTGAAGGTGGTCGATAAATAAAGTGTTACATTGACTGTTGTGGGAGCGTATCCATATATCCATTGTAAACTTTGTGTTTGTTTCAGTGTATACCTGTAGTAGGCTTGATGTAACGTCATGTTGTGTGATGAAAGTAATAATGACCCTCCGATACAATCAGGAAAAAATAAAAGAGGATTTTAAAAAAACACCTGCATCCCACTGTCCTTTTCACACAGATATTATGATATTTCATCTGATAACCTACAAAATATGAGGTTCAAATATGAGACTCTGATAGAAGATACTAGAAAGAAAAACATTTTCTTTACTCATTCACTCATAGAGATACTTGCAAATGTAAATATGGTCAATATTTTGATTAAATTATATCGGGAAATGAATAAAATAACCAAATCATTCAAACAAATCAGTTAATTTTATTTAATTGGATCAGGTCCAATAGGACAAACCAAAAATATTCAGCGTTTAAAGTCCCCCTGTGGTGTAAATCCAGCGTTTAATGTTGTTTATGTCTATGTGGGGTTTTTAATATTATATTATAATATAATATTGCTGAGTATTTTCTGCTTAAAACTGCAGTAAACCAAAGACAGTCTCAAAAACACGGTTTGAAATCGCTGGTGTTTCTGACGTCACAAACGACCTTGTAACCAATCAGATCAACGTGTGATCGTCAACCAGTGGATCTCTGAGCTGAGTGAGTGAGTGGAGGCGGGGCTCATCTGCATATTCATAGAACCGCGCATACTAAATGAGGCGAGGGTGTCGAGTTACATTCAAGATATTTTAAGGCATGAATACATTTTTTTCAAGAAAAAACTTTTAATTATGTCACAGTAAAGATGAGTTTTAAGGGATACAATTATTGACTACAGGGGGACTTTAAGACATTTCAACTTAAATTAGGCTACATTAAACTGACTTTATAAATTGAACTGCATCTGCTCAAATGAATTTGAATACTTAAACATATAAATATATATATAACTATATATATATATAAATTAAATATATATATATATATATATATATATATATATATATATATATATATATATATATATATATATATATATATATAACTTAATAACTTAAGTTAAACAGACATTTTACAGTGTATAACTGGGCCTGAAGACATTGTAGTATTACCCTAAAGTGAAAACTTTAATAATTGTCTGTAATTTTAAAATTCTTAAAACACCACAGATAAAGAGGTTTCTGATTAATATGAAACGAATCAAGTATGACCATAAGATTAATAAATTATGCCAAATGATATAAACAAAAAAGTCAATTTTCTGATATAAATAACACTCACGTCATCGGATCTGACCAATGAGAGACACGTCGCGCTGCGTGGAGGTCCGCCCCCTCAGCTCCATCTGACCAATGAGAGACGCGTCCCGCTGCGTGGAGCCCCGCCCCCTCAACTCTCCATGTTAAACGGCAGGATTCTCCTTTCTCAGCGACTCACTTCACACAGCGCTGTCATCATGGGCTCAAAGGTACTGACAAATCACTCAAATATCATGAACAACAACATCATTACATGTGTATCTCACTCTTTACACCGCAACAGAACACACACTGCTCATTCTCAACCGCTGAACAACAGCTCAGGGTTATTCGAGCAACTTCCGCGTCACGTGCTGGGAGCAGACGACCAGTTTAAACACACACGTTCTGTGGTTCATACATTGAGTGTGTGTGTGTGTGTGTGTGTGTGTGTGTGTGTGTGTGTGTGTGTGTGTGTGAGGTGCTCCGGGAGCCGGTAGAGATCGCTCAGCTGTACCGGGATCAGTGTCGGTTCCCCGCCTTGTGTCGCGCTGACGTGGGTCCCGTGGTGACGTCACGATACGGAGGACAGTACTGCAACATCTACACAGGTTCATCACACTATTAACACACCTATTACACACACCTTCATCACACTATTAACACACCTTCATCACTGACGTGTCAAGCCAACTATTAAAACACAATTAAATGACCATCATCATTAACCCCATAAAGTCTGCTGCTGTATCACAGTTTCTAAGGCCTCTAAATTCTCCTCATGATCAAAACTTTGCTGAAAAACCTGTTGTACTTCATGTTTTCTGTCGTCTGACTGATAGTTCAGACTTTTAGCAAGTTTAAGGCTTTTTAGTATAATTGTAAAAAAAAAAAAAAATGAAACCTTTATTTAAAACAAACGTAAGGATAATTTTTAGATGAACACTTACTGGACTGAAGTGACTTATGTTTACTCGATTATCCATGCATCATTTTTGTTTTTAAGGAAAAATCCTGAGTAATAAATATGATCATCAGGCTTTTAAGGAAGGTTTATTAGTTCATCTCTCAATCATCATTGCATTGCAGTTATGAGTGATGTCTGACACGTGTGTGTGTGAGTGATGTCTGACACGTGTGTGTGTGTGTGTGTGTGTGTGTGTGTGTGTGTGTTTAGAGTGGACTCAGCGGGACCTGGAGAGGAACGAGAGTGTGAAGTTCTGTCGTCAGTACATCGTGTTTCATGACGAGGCGTCAGTGGTTTACTCCGGACCCTCGGGGAACTGCACTGAAATCAAGGGAGAGTATGTCCATCGCACCGCTGTTCATCACACACACACGTATTCACACACTCCTTCAACATCACTCTTACTCGCTATAGTCACTCTAGAACTCAGAGTTCTCAGATCAGTGGATATTTGACTGGTTTTGTCCGTCCTTCTGTTAGACTCTCACACATGAATTATGTTGAATATCTGTCCGCTGTTAAATTTAACTACACAATTAGATAATACCAGTTTAGCTCAACCAGTGACCAAGCAATGCTTCATGTTGTTCAGTGTGTGTGTGAAAAGAGCATTAGCAGTTACAGAAAACACACTTCAGCAGAACATCATCAGCTCAAAGTGGAGGAATCATTTCTGCTCCCAAATTTGTATACATTTTACTGTATGGAGAATTTTTGGGTATAATATTTGTGTGTGTGTTCTGTGAGCACTGGTATTGAGATCCGCTGATCGGTGTGTGTGTGTGTGTGTGTGTGTGTGTGTGTGTGTGTGTGTGTGTGTTCAGGCTGCTCAGTGTGGATTCCCCATCCGGAGACATGAAGGCTGTGCTGAGAGAGTCCAGCATTAAAGGAGAAGAGAAGCAGTTCCTGGAGGTCAGCTTATTCCACAGTTCCCTCATTAATCTGCGATACGACTGCACTGATGACTTCACCGCACACTGACGCTGCGTGAGCATGTGAAACTGATAACACACTACAGTCTCACGGGCAGTAAGGGGGTACACCTGAGACGGGTCTCTCTCTGTAGGCGAGGGCGGGGTTAGCTGGTACCCTCTTACATCACAGGGCACCACAACTTTTACACCATATATTGTAGAATTAAAACACTTTATACCCAAATGTCAAAAAATGTACTTGAATCAATGAACAGCACTAATAAAGCTCCAGTCTTACAGATCATTAACTAAAAAAAGTTGTTTTTAGGGTTTAGTTACCCTTTAAAGGGACACACACACAAAACGGTGTGTTTTTTGCTCACCCTCAAAAAGTGCCAATCTTAACACGCTATAAAAAAATATCTGTATTTTGAGCTGAAGCTTCACACACACACACACACACACACACACACACACACACACACACACACACACACACACACACACACACACACACACACACACACACACACACACACTCTGGGGACATCAGAGACTTATTTTACATCTTGTGAGAAGGGCATTATAGGACCCCTTTAAATATATTTGGTCTGCTAGGCATTGCATTTTAAGATAAGAGGTGCATGCCAATACTTGTGCACTGTTCTGTGCTGTTTCGTTATATTATATTCGTATAATGTCCAGACTGATGAAGAGAATGGGGGAATATGTCCGTATATTGTACATGTCGGCTCGTAAATCTGTCTTCCTCCTCTTCGTCGACCCCTTCTTCCTCTTAACCCAAGGCTCTGTCACTCGTCAGCACTGATGTCACCTTTATCTCGTCTGGGAATAAAGAGCAGACCAGCGCTTGATTGATGAATGTCAGTAAAGCGCAGTTCCACTCGTTTAATGTGCTTTCTGGCAGCAGGTCAACCTCGTAACTCAGTGTCAGTCACATCGCAGTCGGTCAGTGTGCAACTGCAGTGATCTCTCTCTCTCTCTCTCTCTCTCTCTCTCTCTCTCTCTCTCTCTCTCATCTCTCTCTCTCTCTCTCTCTCTCTCTCTCTCTCTCTCTCTCTCTCTCTCTCTCTCTCTCTCTCTCTGTGTCTCTCTCTCTCTCTCTCTCTCTCTCTCTCTCTCTCTCTCTCTCTCTCTCTTTCTGTGTGTCTCTCTCTCTCTCTCTCTCTCTCTCTCTCTGTCTCTCTGTCTCTCTCTCTCTCTCTCTCTCTCTCTCTCTCTCTCTCTGTCTCTCTGTCTCTGTCTCTCTCTCTCTCTCTCTCTCTCTCTCTCTCTCTCTCTCTCTCTCTCTCTCTCTCTCTCTCTCTCTCTCTCTCTCTCTCTCTTTCTGTGTCTCTCTCTCTGTGTCTCTCTAGATCTGGCACAAGAACAGAAGCTGAAGTGTCTTAATCTGACGACTCTCAACAAACACGGCAAAGTGTATGAAGATGGTAAGAGGAAAACAATCACACACTTTCCTCTCCGCTGTATCGCTGAAGGGTTGTGTACCCAAACTGCTGTGAACCTAAACTCATTTGATCCCTTAAAACTCATCTTTGATCACCAAAATTACGTATTCAAACATTTATTCATGCCTTAAAATACGTCAGAAACACAGCGATTTCAAACCGTGTTTTTGAGACTGTCTTTGGTTCACTGCAGTTTTAAGGAGGAAATACTCAGCAATGCTGTCGACTTATGAACTTACACATGGTGTGTCTTAAAGCGTATTAAAAACACCACATAGACACATAAACAACATTAAACGCTGGATTTACACCACAGGGGGACTTAATGAATCAGTTTGAGTGAATGATTCAACGACTGGCTCATAAAGTCTTCACTTGTTGCATTACTGGATGATTCAGTGTTTCTGATTCAATGATTCAATGACAAACACATTAAGTCTCTTGTGTCCCCCTACTGGAGTAACGGTGTAATACAATCTTTATGTGAAGCATCAAGTTACTTTTAACTCTATTTTGATCTCTACTGTAGACATCAGTGTTTATATCTGAACTATAATCTTTCCTCCAGCACTCCTGTGATAATCTGAGTGATTGTAAGACAGATATAATGATCCTGTGAGTTGGAAAGACTGTTAGTGAAGCGGTTTGATATCTATTCATGACGCCGGCTCTCTCTGGATCAGAACTCAGATCTGAATGTTGCTGATCGAAGGGTTAATAGACAGATCGCCATCTCGTAACGGTTAATCGTGCAGCTCTACAGCACACGATTACACTGATAACATATGGAGTGTGAGATTATATGAGCAGAATCATGCATTGTTAAATAGCCTTTAGTTTATTTGCTGGTGGCAGGTTACATTAGGGTCTTCAGTTCAGTCTACAGCGGCTGTTCATAGGAAAATGAGATGTCCTGAACCCTCCACACACGCAGACGCTGATAATGTGCTCTGTTCTCAGATCAGTTCGGCTGTATGGTCTGGTCTCATTCAGAGACTCACCTCCTGTATGTTGCTGAGAAGAAACGACCCAAGACAGAGTCCTACTTCCAGGTTTACACAAAACACACTCTTTCTGATGACTCTGTGTGTGTGTTCTCGCCTGACCCGTTCCCTCGCCCCGCAGGCTCCGGAGACGGGCGCGCTCAGCGATGAGGAGGAGGCCGGCCGCACGGGCAAGAAGGAGGAACCCAGCCTGGTAACAGCTGCCGTCATGTCCTGTTTATCTGATAGGGACAAAGCTTTAGTATAAAATACAAAAGTAAACAAGCCGGATTATAGCAACATTGCTAATTTACATCCACAGGTACACACGAGAACAAATACTCAACACTACAGTACAAAGACACAATACACACATTATTACAATTACTAAGTGAAATTTTTACACGACTGATTCGTCATACGCCACTTCTTCAGATCAACTTAAGGAGAACGCTGTCTTATTGACTGTGGTAAACTATTCCTATTTCTGCCCCCTATTACAGATAATACTTTCTGACTGGAAGATGTTGGGCTGTATGGCACTTCACAACCTAATCTAATCTGAGGACAGATCTGCTACTAACTCCACATTCTGCTTTATAAACTCATTTAACGAAGGCCCATGCCAGACCTTATGAATAAAACAGGCAAATGTGACATTTTTACAATTTTTAAAACTCAATAATTTTTTTTAGACGTTTTTTTTATTCAACACTATACAGTGATTCTATTAACTTTAGAGTAGTGTCACCTATGCATGGCCAACTATTAAAAAAATACTGAATATGTGAAAAAAAATCATTGAATCACAGTTACATCACCGAATCATTGAATCACATTGAATCACCAATACAACCTGGCAGCACAAAAATGGCCTAATATACTTTAACTTTTAAAAGGTCTAATATTGATAAATTTTGAGTATTATCCAAAGAAACCCAAGATACGTAAACTCTTTAACACTTTCAGCTGCTCTCAGGAACACCTGATTCTGTCATCTCCACTGGTTTGCAAACATCATACACACAGTTTGTGTTTGTGTTCAATAATAAACCTGTCCTGGTAAGCCAATCCTGAATATTGCTCAAAGTAATCAAAGCTTTTTCAAAATTCTTAGCATGGGTAAAAATGACCACTTTACATACTCCAGGTAGATCATTAATATAAAGTGGAAATAAAACTGGTCCCGCAATAGAGCCTTGTGGAACGCCCTGGGCTAGGGGAGAGGAGTTTGCACCATCAATACACACACACTGTTTCCTATTTAATAGATATGATTTTATCCAAAGTATTGCCTCCCTTGAAAATTTGTAATTTGTTAGTTTAGATAAAAGCTTCTGATGGTCAACAGTGTCAATGCCTTCTTTAGAAAGACAGCACTCACACACACTCTTATCTAACGAGAGTTTGTGTAACGTGTGTGTGTAATGTGTGTGTGTGTGTGTGGCAGGGGCATCAGTTCGAGTACTACGAGGACTGGGGTGAGGCGCTGGTGGGTAAGAGCAGCCCGGTGCTGTGTGTGCTGGACGTCGAGGGCGGCAACATCACGGTTCTGGAGGGAACGCCCTCCGACATCTCTCCAGGACAGGTACATCTCTCGAGTCCTTGTGTCTGACGTGCGTTCAGACTGAGACTGGCCTTATTTTAACGTATTATATATTGATTTGAATGGCAATAAGCTTAAACATCTGATAATGCTTCCGCTTCAAGAGCAAAAAATCTCAGTCACTTTGGCCACAGACGGGTGTGTACGATGTTTTTCAGGATTCTTTGATGAATAGAAAGTTCAAAAGAACAGCATTTATCCGAAATAGAATCTTTTGTAGCATTTTTAATGTCTTTACTGTGAATTTGATCAATTTAATTATTCCTTGATGAATAAAAGTATTGATTTCTTTTATCCCCCCCCCCCCCCCCACCAAAAAAGCACAACTCTTACTGACCCCAAACTGTTGAACAGTCGAGTTTAATGTTACAGAAGATCATATTTCAGATAAATGCTGTTCTTTTGAACTTTCTATTCATCAAAAAATCCTGAAATAAAAATGTAAATAACTGTTTTACACACTGATAATAATCATAAGTGTTTCTTGAGCATCAAATCCTCATATTAGAGTGATTTCTGAAGGATCATGTGACACTGAAGACTGGAGTAATGATGCTGAAAACTAAGCTTTATCACAGGAATAAATTACACTTTACTGTATATTCACATAGAAAAATGCTGTTTTAAATTGTAATAATATTTCACAATATTACTGTTTGTTGTTGTATTTTTAATCACATAAACGCAGCCTTGGTGAGCAGAAGAGACTTATTTTAAAAACATTAAAAATCTCACCGATGCCAAACTGTTGGCTGGTAGTAGTGATGCACATAGAGAACAGAATACAGAGGATATCAAGCTTCACCCACAGGGGGCGCTAGTGCCACAGCTAACTGAACACCATGAGAATGAGGTGAAGTTTAGCATTTACTGGAACATTGTCCTGTCCGCTTCAGTCAAACATCCCCACGCCTGCTCTTCTAGTAGTAGCTCTGCTTCGGGTGTTCGGTTCTGAATCTGGCCTCTGGCCCGCAGGCGTTCTGGGCCCCCGGCGACACCGGGCTGGTGTTCGTGGGCTGGTGGCACGAGCCGTTCAGACTGGGGCTCAAGTACTGCGCCAACAGAAGGTGAGGATGAGGAGGAATCTCTGTGTTATGAAGAACGCATCTGTTGTGTATCTGTGGTGTTTACAAGCTCTGTCGTTTCTGCAGGTCGTCTCTGTTTTACGTGGATCTGGCTAGTGGCAAATGTGGTAAAGCTCTCATCTTCAACCGTTCTCTACTGACAATATGTAGTGTGTGTGTGCGTGTGTGTGTGAGAGAGAGTGAGTGTGTGTGTGCGTGTGTGTGTGAGAGAGTGAGTGTGTGTGTGTGAGAGAGTGAGTGTGTGTGTGTGTGCGTGTGTGTGAGAGAGTGAGTGTGTGTGTGTGTGTGTGTGTGTGTGAGAGAGAGAGTGAGTGTGTGTGTGAGAAAGTGAGTGTGTGTGTGCGTGTGTGTGAGAGAGTGAGTGTGTGTGTGTGCGTGTGTGAGAGAGTGAGTGTGTGTGTGAGAAAGTGAGTGTGTGTGTGCGTGTGTGTGAGAGAGTGAGTGTGTGTGTGTGCGTGTGTGAGAGAGTGAGTGTGTGTGAGAGAGTGAGTGTGTGTGAGAGAGTGAGTGTGTGTGTGAGTGTGTGTGTGTGAGAGAGTGAGTGTGTGTGTGTGAGAGAGTGAGTGTGTGTGTGCATGTGTGTGTGAGAGAGTGAGTGTGTGTGTGTGAGAGAGTGTGTGTGTGTGCGTGTGTGTGAGAGAGTGAGTGTGTGTGTGTGAGAGAGTGAGTGTGTGTGTGCGTGTGTGTGAGAGAGTGAGTCTGTGTGCGTGTGTGTGAGAGAGTGAGTGTGTGTGTGTGAGAGAGTGAGTGTGTGTGTGCGTGTGTGTGAGAGAGTGAGTGTGTGTGTGTGAGAGAGTGAGTGTGTGTGTGCGTGTGTGTGAGAGAGTGAGTGTGTGTGTGCGTGTGTGTGAGAGAGTGAGTGTGTGTGTGTGAGAGAGTGAGTGTGTGTGTGCGTGTGTGTGAGAGAGTGAGTGTGTGTGTGTGTGTGAGAGAGTGAGTGTGTGTGCGTGTGTGTTTGTGTGTGTGCGTGTGTGTGTGTGTGTGTGTGTGTGTGTATACATTTCCTCATAATTATCGCACGTTTGACGATCATAATCTTGTATCTGTGTTCTCAGACCAGTTGTCCTGTAACTCCAGCTCCGTCTGCTCTCCTCGGCTCAGTCCTGATCACTGTCGCATCGCTTATCTGGAGTCCGGCATCTTCGGCCCTCACCAGCAGTGCAGCCGACTGTGTGTGGTGTGTGTGTGTGTGTGTCCAATTCTTTAAGTAAATGAAAGCTGACTGTAAAGTCTTAGCACTAACAGTAATTAGTTGTGGTGTGTTTGCAGTATGACTGGTTCACCTAGCAGACGAGTGTTGTGGTGTGTGTCTGAGTGTGTCTGAGTGTGTCTGAGTGTGTGTGTGTGTGTGTAAGCTAACCCTGACTGTTGAGTGTTGCAGTAATGTGATCAGTTGTAGTGTGTTTGCAGTATGACTGGTACACCCAGCAGACGAGTGTGTGTGTGTGTCTGAGTGTGTGTCTGAGTGTGTGTCTGAGTGTTTGTCTGAGTGTGTGTCTGAGTGTGTGTCTGAGTGTGTGTCTGAGTGTGTGTCTGCGTGTGTCTGCGCGTGTGTGTGTGTGTGTGTGTGTGTGTAAACTAACCCTGACTGTAGAGTGTTGCAGTATGTGATCAGTTGTGGTGTGTTTGCAGTATGACTGGTACACCCAGCGGACGAGTGTGTGTGTGTGTGTGTGTGTATAAACTAACCCTGACTGTAGAGTGTTGCAGTAATGTGATCAGTTGTGTGTTTGCAGTATGACTGGTACACCCAGAAGACGAGTGTTGTGGTCGATGTGCAGACGAGAGCCAGAGAGGGTAAGAGCCTGTTTGCATACATTTAAAAAAAAAAATGTTGGTTGTTAAAGAAATTAAGTAAAAAAATAAAAACTCAATGAGTTCAGAAACGTGTTATTCAGATGAAGTTCCCTTTTAGACGGTCGTACGTCGGTCGTGCCGAATGACTGGGATCACGCTTAGGCAGCCTGTCATCTTCGAGTGTTAACAGAGGGAGCCGATGCACATTGGCGTGTGAGATTAGCATGTCGCGCTCCGCCCCACAGCGCGGGTATAAACATGGAAGCGCATGCAAGAACCATTCGCTGAGGAGCCGAGCGTTTGATGATGATTGAACCTGCCTGATATGAGGGAGACCGACAAGTCTCAGTTCCTGGACTCCCCCATTTCCCAGGTTGGGCTCTTTGGCGACGCCTGTAGAACTTCGCACCGCCCATATGCGAACTCCTGCCTCCCCGGAGTCCAGCGGCACCCACATTTTCAAGAAAAGAGCAAATTCCTCAAAAACCCTTCTCACACACACCCTGCCGACCCGTGGAGACTAGGGGTGTAACGGTTCACAAAATTCACGGTTCGGTTCGATACGACGCAGTGGTGTCACGGTTCGGTACGTTTTCGATACAGCAAAAATGTTTTCCTACATCTTGAAACTTTTAGTTTTATAAATGGGGGTTATCTTTGAAGTATGAACAAATAATGTTTTGGTCATCACATTAAAAATAACATTTAAATATGATAATATTTTAGTTTTAATAAAAAGATGTTACATACTTGAAAACATTTTACTATTCCTGCCTAACTTCCATGGTTACAGTGAGTGTTACTACAGTAAATCCATGGTGAATGTTGCTGATCTGTGGACTTAAATCCTCTCCTGGTTTCCACGTCAGCGCCGTTTGATCTAATAGAGATCTACGGTTAATAACAGAGAAATTTGAATGCTTCTCACTAGATCTCACTATAGCTCCCACCGCATGTCGCGACTCACCCGCCATATCCTCCTATGGAGTCATAAGCATCTGAGGTCGCTTCGTGCCACTTATTCCCCGGCCTGTTCAATCGTGCTGCCGACGAGCTCTCACGACAGCCTGTGGCCCCGGGAGACTGGAGACGCCATCCCCAGGCGGTCCAGCTGATCTGGGACCACTTCGGGACCGCACAGGTAGATCTGTTTGCCTCTCCGGACTCGTTCCATTGACAGTTGTTCTATTCTCTGACCGAGGGGACCCTCGGCATGGATGCTCTGGCACACAGCTGGCCACCGGACCTATGCAAGTATGCGTTTCAGGGACGGGGCACCCTATGGCACCCGTGTCCAGACCTCTGGAAACTGCATGTCTGGTCCCTGGACGGGACGCGAAGGACTTAGGTGATCTACCACAAGCAGTCGTAGACACCATCACTTCTGTGAGAGCGCCCTTTACAAGGCACACTTACGCTCTGAAGTGAACCTGTTCGTAGAGTGCTGTTCTTCTCACCGAGAAGACCCCTGAAGATGTTCGATCGGTCTGTGCTTTCCTTTCTGCAAGAGAGGTTGGGCGGTCTCCTTCCACCCTCAAAGTGAATGTTGCCTCTATTGCCGCACATCACGATGCAGTTGATGGAAAATCCGTGGGGAAGCACGACCCTCGATACCCTCTTGGGACTTATATCTGGTGCTGACAGCACTGCAGAGACCTCCCTTTGAGCCATTGCAGGCAGCTGAGTTAAAAATCCTGTCTATGAAAACAGTTATCCTGCTTGCTTTGGCCTCCGTCAAGAGGATAGGGGACCTGCACGAATCGTGCCTGGATATGTGCCAAAGGTTCCTACCACTCCCTTCCGGGACCAGGTGGTGAACCTGCAAGCGTTGCCCCCGGGAGGAGGCAGACCCAGCCCTGGCTTTCTCGTTCGTGCTCCTATACGTGGACAGAACACACAGCCTCAGGACCTCAGACCAGCTCTTCGTCTGTTACGGAGGCCAGCAGAAGGGAAAGGCTCTCTCCAAGCAGAGGATGGCCCACTGGATAGTGGATGCCATCGTCTTTGCGTACCCACTCCAGCCGGAGTGTCGCTTCTTCTTGGGCGCTGGCACAAGGCGCCTCACTGACAGATATTTGTAGAGCTGCGGGCTGGGCAACACCAAACACGTTTGCTAGGTTTTAAACCCTTCGGGTTGAGCCGGTATCCTCCAGTGTGCTCGCTTCCCATAGCCAGTAAACACCCTAGGTCCCGCTCAAAGTGTCGGCTTGCTGCACCTTTCACCTCCTATGGACTGGATACGTGCACCAGTTGAGTCCCCCGTTAGCCGAATCCTGTTGAGTTTAAGCTCGATGCTTTCTCCCCGCTGCTCGTCAGCTGACATTCAGTGGCTCAGTGGTTCATGTGGGTTGTCTACAAACCGGAAGGTTGGTGGTTCAATCCTCGGTTCCACCTGACCAAGTGTCGAGGTGTCCATGAGCAAGACACCTAACCCCGACTGCTCCCGACAAGCTGGATGGCGCCTTGCATGGCTGCCGTCGCCCGTCGGTGTATGAATGAGTGAGTGAATGGGTGAATGTGAGGCAAATTGTAAAGCGCTTTGGTGGCCATTGGGTCTGTGAAAGCGCTATATAAATGCAGTCCATTTACCATTCAGCGTGTGCTGATCTCCTGCGCTCAGAGATGCCGTAAGGTAGGTAATGTTGGAAATTCCCAGTTAAATGTGTTAATGTCCCATTCCTCCCCCGGTACGGCTCCCCCACATCCCTCGGCAGTCACACTCGTCCCATATGTTGTGATCCCTATGGTGGTCCCATATGTGTATTCCTCCATGGTACGGCTTCCTGCGGTGAGCCTGTGTCGTTCCCTTGGCAGAGCCCGCTCTGCCTTCTCTGACCGGTGTGTCCTGGCTTCGAACGGAGCAACCTCAGTGACATTTCATATGTTGTACTGCCCCGAAACGCCCTGTCCATATGTGTAATTTCCACATGATACCTCCCTACGGGCAGGTTGTGGCTTACGCAGCGTCTGCCTTTCCACTGAAAGGGCATGCTTTCCCAGTGTTATCCAAGTCTGTCTGAGTGAGTCATGCGGAACAGCAGTGGACTTCCCTGGCCTAAGCCCTGTCCCATCTCCGCCTCAAATGCGGGGGGGATCGGGAGGCTTTCGCTAGGCACTGGAAGGTGGCGGCACTAGGTGGCGTGTTACTGGGGATCCCAATTAATCGGCACGTCCGATGTACGTATCCGTAATCCTTCAGGGAATGAGGGTTACATATATGTAACCAAGATGATCTCTGTTTAATATCTCTTGTGTGTGTGTGTGTGTGTGTGTGTGTGTGTGTGTGTGTGTGTCAGATGGTTTTACTGGGATCTACAGCTCGATGCTTTCTCCCCGCTGCTGGTCAGCTGACAGTCAGCGTGTGCTGATCTCCTGCGCTCAGAGATGCCGTAAGGTACTGTTTTCATGGACACAGATTAATATGGTTATTATTGCAAATTGCTAAGTATTCTCAGAATTATATTACATCTTTCTCATTTATTTCATTCATTGCATCCATTTGCAGTTTATTTTATTTCTGTTGAATACAAAATAAGCTATTTATTAAAAAACTTGTTTTGTTTATACAATGAAAGTCAGTGGGGTCCAAACAGACTGACAGAAGCAATATCTGCTTTTTATTCCACAGAAGAAAGCAAGTCATACAGGTTTGATGAATCATGACCTGAAATTTGGTGCAGGATTGCACGCAATTTTATTCCTGCAAGTTCTGCGCTCATAATATTGGAAATCCCCAGTTAAATGTGTTGACACGCAAATGGCTCATGTTTAGATTCAATGAAGCCTGGCGCTGCAGTGATGTAGTTTTACTTAACCTTCATCGTCATCAATCAACATTGTGTTTGTATATTACAGGATCTGTTGGTTGTTGATACTTCGAGTCGCGAGGTCACGTCTCTCACCTCCCGTATGTAGAGCTACTCTCGTTGTCTCATATTACTCCTCTACTGTACTCTAGTGTTCTCTACCTCTATTGTACTGTACTTCCACTGTACTCTACTGTAGGGGTGTAACAAAAATCACGGTTCGGTACGTACCTCGGTTTTAAAGTCACGGTTCGGTACGTTTTCGATACAGCAAAAAGTAAGAAATGCCAGAGAAATTTCCTATTTGTTAAAAGAAAAAAATATTTTTTAAATAATTGTGAGTTTTCCTACATCTTGAAACTTTCAGGTTTATAAATGGGTGTCATCTTTGAAGGATGAACAAATAATGTTTTGGTCATCACATTAAAAATAACATTTAAATATATGAAGAGTTCAGATGCAAAAGCCATTTGAAATTTTCTTTATTTTTATCAAGCTTGTATATTTAAGTTTTGTAATTTCACTTAAATGGCAATGAAGATTACCTATTAATTGTCATTTGAGTGAAATTACTGAACTTAAATATACAAGCTTCATAAAAATGATCATTCTAGAAGAAAATTTCAAATGGCACTTAGAGGCTTTTGCATCTGAACTCTTCAAATATTTATTTATATAATATTTGAGTTTTGAAGTGCTGGAAAAAGATGTGTGAAGTACTTGAAAGCATTTCACTATTCCAGCCAAACTGGTTACAGTTAGTGTTACTATATTAAATCCATGGTGAATGTTGCTGGTCTGTGGACGTAAAGTATTACTAACTTAGATCATTCACGGCACAATATTTCTCCTGGTGTCCACGTCAGCGCTGTTTGATCTAATAGAGGTCTACGGTTAATAACGGAGAAATGTGAATGCTTCTCACTAGATCTCGCAGCGATGTTATTACTTCAGTGGCGAATTCAAATGTTTTCTTCACTGGATCTTAGCGCTGTGTAGTGACAGTGTCGCTTGATCGAGATCGGCTCGCGCTGCACAGATGTTGCTGGTCCGAACTCCGAACTGATAAACGATCCGTGAAGCACATGAGTAGCGCAGTTTTGTTCCGCTTTCTTTACGCTTGCCATTTGATGTTGCGCAACGTTGTGGTGATCGCGCCAGCGCGAATTTTGTCGGTAGGAAAAATGGTCCAAGGAATCGTTAGGTTTGTATGCGTACCGAACCGGAAGCCTCGTACCGAAACGGTTCAATACGAATACATGTACCGTTACACCCCTACTCTACTGTACTCTACCTCTACTGTACTCTACTCTATTGTACTCTACCTCTACTGTGCTCTACTCTATTGTACTCTACCTCTACTGTGCTCTACTCTATTGTACTCTACCTCTACTGTGCTCTACTCTATTGTACTCTACCTCTACTGTGCTCTACTCTATTGTACTCTACCTCTACTGTACTCTACCTCTACTGTACTCTACCTCTACTGTACTCTACCTCTACTGTGCTCTACCTCTACTGTACTCTACCTCTACTGTGCTCAACTCTACTGTACTCTACCTCTACTGTACTCTACCTCTACTGTACTCTACCTCTACTGTGCTCAACTCTACTGTACTCTACCTCTACTGTGCTCAACTCTACTGTATTCTACCTCTACTGTACTCTACCTCTACTGTACTCTACTGTACTCTACCTCTACTGTACTCTACCTCTACTGTACTCTACCTCTACTGTGCTCTACTCTACTGTACTCTACCTCTACTGTGCTCTACTCTACTGTACTCTACCTCTACTGTACTGTACTCTACCTCTACTCTACTGTACTCTACCTCTACTGTACTCTACCTCTACTGTACTCTACCTCTACTGTACTCTACTGTACTCTACTGTACTCTACTCTACCTCTGCTGTACTCTACCTCTGGTGTACTCTACTCTACCTCTGCTGTACTCTACTCTACTGTACTCTACCTCTGCTGTACTCTACTGTACTCTACCTCTGCTGTACTCTACCTCTGCTGTACTCTACTCTACTGTACTCTACCTCTACTGTACTCTACCTCTACTGTACTCTACTGTACTCTACCTCTGCTGTACTCTACCTCTGCTGTACTCTACCTCTGCTGTACTCTACCTACTGTACTCTACCTGTACTGTACTCTACTGTACTCTACTCTACTGTACTGTACTCTACCTCTGCTGTACACTACTGTACTCTACCTCTGCTGTACTCTACCTCTGCTGTACTCTACTCTACTGTACTGTACTCTACCTCTACTGTACTCTACCTCTACTGTACACTACTGTACTCTACCTCTGCTGTACTCTACCTCTGCTGTACTCTACTCTACTGTACTCTACCTCTACTGTACTGTACTCTACCTCTACTGTAAACTGCTGTACTCTACCTCTGCTGTACTCTACCTCTGCTGTACTCTACTCTACTGTACTCTACCTCTACTGTACTCTACCTCTACTGTACTCTACTCTACCTCTGCTGTACTCTACTGTACTCTACCTCTACTGTACTCTACTCTACTGTACTCTACCTCTACTGTACTCTACTCTACTGTACTCTACCTCTACTGTACTCTACCTCTGCTGTACTCTACCTCTACTGTACTCTACTCTACTGTACTCTACCTCTACTGTACTCTACCTCTACTGTACTCTACCTCTACTGTGCTCAACTCTACTGTACTCTACCTCTGCTGTACTCTACTGTACTCTACCTCTACTGTACTCTACCTCTGCTGTACTCTACTCTACTGTACTCTACCTCTACTGTACTCTACTGTACTCTACCTCTACTGTACTCTACCTCTACTGTACTCTACTGTACTCTACCTCTGCTGTACTCTACTCTACTGTACTCTACCTCTGCTGTACTCTACTGTACTCTACCTCTGCTGTACTCTACTCTACTGTACTCTACCTCTACTGTACTCTACCTCTGCTGTACTCTACTCTACTGTACTCTACCTCTGCTGTACTCTACTGTACTCTACCTCTACTGTACTCTACCTCTACTGTGCTCAACTCTACTGTACTCTACCTCTGCTGTACTCTACTCTACCTCTACTCTACTCTACCTCTACTCTACTCTACTCTACCTCTACTCTACTCTACCTCTACTGTACTCTACTCTACCTCTACTGTACTCTACCTCTGCTGTACTCTACTGTACTCTACCTCTGCTGTACTCTACCTCTACTGTGCTCAACTCTACTGTACTCTACCTCTGCTGTACTCTACTCTACCTCTACTCTACTCTACCTCTACTCTACTCTACCTCTACTGTACTCTACTCTACCTCTACTCTACTCTACCTCTACTCTACTCTACTCTACTCTACCTCTACTCTACTCTACCTCTACTCTACTCTACTCTACCTCTACTCTACTGTACTCTACTGTACTCTACCTCTGCTGTACTCTACTCTACTGTACTCTACCTCTACTGTACTCTACCTCTACTCTACCTCTACTGTACTCTGCTGTACTCCACCGTACTCTAACTCTGCTGTACTCTACAGTACTCTACATCCACTGTACTCTACTTTACTGTATGCTACATATACTGTACTGTACTGAACTGTCTGACTCTGATCTCTCTGTACTGTAGAATCTCAGGAAGGAAGCTGGAGTTTACTGAATATTCACAGAGATCTGATGGTGATCAGCTGCTCTTCACCAAACCAACCTCCAGACCTGGTATTCACACATACATTATCACCATATATATATATATATACACCAAATTGTTTTGTTCTGTTTGATTACATTAAATTATGACATACGGTAACTGAATGGGTTAAAATAATTTAGCGTCAAGATGAGCATTTTGACCAACACACAAAACACATTGTTCATTGAGCTTGCACACTTTTAATCTTTTTAATTTAACCCTTAAATGCATGAATGTTTTGCCAATTATATATATATATATATATACACACACACACACTGCCGTTCAAAAGCTTAATTGGATCTGTAAGATTTTTAATGTTTTTAAAAGAGTCTCTTCTGCTCACCAAGACTGCTATTATTTAATTAAAAATACAAAACAGACCGTAATATTATGAAATATTATTACAATTTAAAATAAGTGTTTTCTATGTGAATATACAGTAAAGTGTAATTTATATCCCGTGATAAAGCTGAATTTTCAGCATCATTACTCCAGTCTTCAGTGTCACATGATCCTTCAGAAATCACTCTAATATGATGATCTGATGCTCAAGAAACACTTATGATTATTATCAGTGTTGATGTTATCTTCAGTGTCAGTTCAGTGTTCTGAAGGATCATGTGACACTGAAGACTGGAGTAATGATGCTGAAAATTCAGCTTTATCACGGGATATGAATTACACTTTACTGTATATTCACATAGAAAACACTTATTTAAATTTTTTTTTAAAAACGTCCCGATCCCGAACTTATAAACAGCGGTGTGTGTGTATACTCAATGACCCATTCATAAAGACATTTCCTTTGTTCGTAAATGAATAAGCATTTGAACGAATGTTTGAAAGATCGACTCCAATGACTCGCTCATTAAGTCGGTTATTTGCTGCCACCTGAGCAATGAGATGATTAATGTACCGCTCTGCATGTGTGTGTTCTGCATGTGTGTGTTCTGCATGTGTGTGTTCTGCATGTGTGTGTTCTGCATGTGTGTGTTCTACATGTGTGTGTTCTGCATGTGTGTGTTCTGCATGTGTGTGTTCTGCATGTGTGTGTTCTGCATGTGTGTGTTCTGCATGTGTGTGTGTTCTGCATGTGTGTGTTCTGCATGTGTGTGTTCTGCATGTGTGTGTTCTGCATGTGTGTGTGTTCTGCATGTGTGTGTTTAATGTGATGTTGTGTTCTGCATGTGTGTGTTTAATGAGATGTCGTGTTCTGCATGTGTGTGTTTAATGAGATGTTGTGTTCTGCATGTGTGTGTTTAATGTGATGTTGTGTTCTGCATGTGTGTGTTTAATGAGATGTTGTGTTCTGCATGTGTGTGTTTAATGTGATGTTGTGTTCTGCATGTGTGTGTTTAATGAGATGTTGTGTTCTGCATGTGTGTGTTTAATGAGATGTTGTGTTCTGCATGTGTGTGTTTAATGAGATGTTGTGTTCTGCATGTGTGTGTTTAATGTGATGTTGTGTTCTGCATGTGTGTGTTTAATGAGATGTTGTGTTCTGCATGTGTGTGTTTAACGAGATGTTGTGTTCTGCATGTGTGTGTTTAACGAGATGTTGTGTTCTGCATGTGTGTGTTTAATGAGATGTTGTGTTCTGCATGTGTGTGTTTAATGAGATGTTGTGTTCTGCATGTGTGTGTTTAATGAGATGTTGTGTTCTGCATGTGTGTGTTTAATGAGATGTTGTGTTCTGCATGTGTGTGTTTAACGAGATGTTGTGTTCTGCATGTGTGTGTTTAACGAGATGTTGTGTTCTGCATGTGTGTGTTTAATGAGATGTTGTGTTCTGCATGTGTGTGTTTAATGAGATGTTGTGTTCTGCATGTGTGTGTTTAATGAGATGTTGTGTTCTGCATGTGTGTGTTTAATGAGATGTTGTGTTCTGCATGTGTGTGTTTAATGAGATGTTGTGTCCGCAGCGCGTGGGTTTTCTGCCGGCGAAGGGTTCTGGAAGCCCGGTGTCGTGGGTCACGCTGGAGGAGACTCAAACTCAGGACCAGATCAGCTGGAAGACCCTGAACCTCAGCCCTCCTCCTGAGCAGGACAACACACTCTACCGTACGACCTGTGTGTGTGTGTGTGTGTGTGTGTGTGTGTGTGTGTGTGTGTGTGTGTGTGTGTGTGTGTGTGTGTGTGTGTGTGCCCTCCTCCTGAGCAGGACAACACACTCTACCGTACGACCTGTGTGTGTGTGTGTGTGTGTGTGTGCCCTCCTCCTGAGCAGGACAACACACTCTACCGTACGACCTGTGTGTGTGTGTGTGTGTGTGTGTGTGTGTGTGTGTGTGCCCTCCTCCTGAGCAGGACAACACACTCTACCGTACGACCTGTGTGTGTGTGTGTGTGTGTGTGTGCCCTCCTCCTGAGCAGGACAACACACTCTACCGTACGACCTGTGTGTGTGTGTGTGTGTGTGTGTGTGTGTGTGTGTGTGCCCTCCTCCTGAGCAGGACAACACACTCTACCGTACGACCTGTGTGTGTGTGTGTGTGTGTGTGTGTGTGTGTGTGTGTGTGTGTGTGTGTGTGTGTGTGTGTGTGTGTGTGTGTGTGTGTGTGTGTGTGTGTGTGCCCTCCTCCTGAGCAGGACAACACACTCTACCGTACGACCTGTGTGTGTGTGTGTGTGTGTGTGTGTGTGTGTGTGTGTGTGTGTGTGCCCTCCTCCTGAGCAGGACAACACACTCTACCGTACGACCTGTGTGTGTGTGTGTGTGTGTGTGTGTGCCCTCCTCCTGAGCAGGACAACACACTCTACCATACGACCTGTGTGTGTGTGTGTGTGTGTGTGTGTGTGTGTGTGTGTGTGTGCGTGTGCCGCCCTCCTGAGCAGGACAACACACTCTACCGTACGATCTGTGTGTGTGTGTGTGTGTGTGTGCCCTCCTCCTGAGCAGGACAACACACTCTACCATACGACCTGTGTGTGTGTGTGTGTGTGTGTGTGTGTGTGTGTGTGTGCGTGTGCCGCCCTCCTGACCAGGACAACACACTCTACCGTACGATCTGTGTGTGTGTGTGTGTGTGTGTGTGTGTGTGTGTGTGTGTGTGTGTGTGTGTGTGTGTGTGTGTGTGTGTGTGTGTGTGTGTGTGTTCACTAGACCCGTCCCCATCATATAGATAACTGCAATTATCCTTGTAATTAGGTGCCGAGCACCGGAGATGTGTAGGCGACTATTGTAATCGTTGGCGTTCCTATTATTATTATTATTATTATTATTCAATTCCGTTTCCTCCGCTTACGCTCTGGAAGTAACGGCAGCCCATAGAACCGCTTGCAGGTGTATGTTATGAAATTGTTATGAAAATGTTATGAAAATGTTATGAAAAAGTTATGAAATTTGGCACACAGATGGAGGACAGACTGAACTGTCACCAAAGCAAATTTGGAGTCTAACTCAATCCCTCTAGCGCCACCAACTGTCCAAAGTTGAAACCAACTAGAAACAAAATTCAAGACGCTCAAGGCGATGCGATTGCACCCTACGACGTCATTTTCCGGCATGAACATTTTTCCGCCATTTGGAAGTAGTCAAACTCCTGCGAGCCCGTTGCTCCGGATTTCATGGAATGTAACTCGATCATCTTCAGACGGCCCTAACAAAGAGTTGATTTGTCAAACAGTTCTCGAATAATGTGCGAACGAATTTGGCGACGGTCCTGGCAAAATGAACGTGAGGCTATATCTGTGCAACGCTTTAGCGTATTCTGACCAACATTGGTGTGTGTTATGACATGCATGACCCGAGTCTACCTGCACAGTTTCGGTGCAGTGCCCTCTAGTGGTCAGGAGATATGAAACATTTTTGCTTATAACTTCTGAATGCTTTGGCCAAAAATCACAAAACTAGTTTTGGGAGCAGCGCCACCTTGTGGTCAAAAGTGATATTGAAATTTCACCAGTCCTAGTGTTCACATGTTGCACTGTACAGTATATCTGCATGGAGCAATAACAACTCTCTGTTCTTCTTTAGCTGGTTTGGACTTTGATGCGATTCTGCTGAAGCCAAAGGAGACGGAGGGAAGCAAACTGCCTCTCATCGTCATGCCACACGGTCTGCTCTGCACTGACGCTTATATTTTACAATGTAAAAGTGATGTAAGAAAATGTTGACGTCTTGCTGTGCTGATTTTCTGTCTGTGTGTGTGTGTGTGTGCGTGTGTGTGTCAGGCGGCCCTCATTCAGTGCTGGTGACAGAGTGGATCTTGTCCACAGCGGTTCTGTGTAAGATGGGCTTCGGCGTCCTGCTGGGTGAGCAGAGGTCATAGTTAATGCTTTACACTAGGGGTGTCACGATACTGAACTCACAATACAATATTATTGCGATACTCCAAGACACATGACTTAAAAATTCAAATGACATGAGGATGAGTAAATGACAGACTTTCAGCCAAACGTCCAGGCTAATATGGTAATGTTTGGGCCGTGTGGGCAGGAATGAGTCGATGTCAATGATTTGGGGAGGTTTTGTGTCATGTGTGTGTGTCCTGTTGTAGTGAATTACAGAGGCTCACTTGGGTTTGGTCAGGATAACATCTCCTCCTTACCTGGAAACGTCGGTACGCAGGACGTCAGAGACGTGCAGGTAAACACTAGCACTCGCTGGTCACATGATCACATCATCAAGCACCACAGCAGTGTTGGGGAAAGTTACTTTCAAAAGTAATGCATTACAACATTGCGTAACTCCCCAAACAATTAACTAAATGCGTTACATTACTTTTGCGTTACTTTTTCTCGCCTGGGCTTGTTTGTTTTTTAATCTCTTTTTGAAATCTATTTTTGGCAAATGAAAAGGCCCTTTCACACCAAAAGTGAAATAATAATCCTCAGGCCGAAGGAAATGCATATTTACTACTGAACAGTAGAGTAGAGTAGAGTAGGAGTAGAGTAGGAGTAGAGTAGGAGTAGAGTAGGAGTAGGGTAGAGTAGGAGTAGAGTAGGAGTAGAGTAGAGTAGGAGTTGAGTAGGAGTTGAGTAGGAGTAGAGTTGAGTAGAGTAGGAGTAGAGTAGGAGTAGAGTAGGAGTAGGAGTAGGGTAGAGTAGGAGTAGAGTAGGAGTAGAGTAGGAGTAGAGTAGGAGTAGGAGTAGAGTAGGAGTTGAGTAGGAGTAGGAGTAGGAGTAGAGTAGGAGTAGAGTAGGAGTAGGAGTAGGAGTAGGAGTAGAGTAGGAGTAGGAGTAGGAGTAGGAGTAGAGTAGGAGTAGGGTAGAGTAGGAGTAGAGTAGAGTAGGAGTTGAGTAGGAGTAGAGTAGGAGTAGAGTAGAGTAGAGTAGGAGTAGAGTAGGAGTAGAGTAGGAGTAGAGTAGAGTAGGAGTAGAGTAGAGTAGGAGTAGAGTAGAGTAGGAGTTGAGTAGAGTAGGAGTAGGAGTAGAGTAGGAGTAGAGTAGGAGTAGGGTAGAGTAGGAGTAGGAGTAGAGTAGGAGTAGAGTAGGAGTAGAGTAGAGTAGGAGTAGAGTAGGAGTAGAGTAGGAGTAGGGTAGAGTAGGAGTAGAGTAGGAGTAGAGTTGAGTAGAGTAGGAGTAGAGTAGGAGTAGGAGTAGAGTAGGAGTAGAGTAGGAGTAGAGTAGGAGTAGGGTAGAGTAGGAGTAGGAGTAGAGTAGGAGTAGAGTAGGAGTAGAGTAGAGTAGGAGTAGAGTAGGAGTAGAGTAGGAGTAGGGTAGAGTAGGAGTAGAGTAGGAGTAGAGTAGAGTAGGAGTTGAGTAGGAGTTGAGTAGAGTAGGAGTAGAGTAGGAGTAGGAGTAGAGTAGGAGTAGGAGTAGGGTAGAGTAGGAGTAGAGTAGGAGTAGAGTAGGAGTAGGAGTAGGAGTAGAGTAGGAGTTGAGTAGGAGTAGGAGTAGGAGTAGAGTAGGAGTAGAGTAGGAGTAGGAGTAGGGTAGAGTAGGAGTAGAGTAGGAGTAGGAGTAGGGTAGAGTAGGAGTAAAGTAGGAGTAGAGTAGGAGTAGAGTAGAGTGGAGTAGGAGTAGGAGTAGAGTTTTATGATCTACAAAACAGACAGTCACAAAAACAATAACATCCCCTATTTAGTCTAATATAACCAGTGTTGGGCAGTAACGCGTTAACGCAGTTACTTTTGACAGCAACTCATACTGTAACACATTACTTTTTAAATAAATTAACTCCTTTTTAAATGAACTCTGTTACCGTTACCATATGATGCATTGTCTGTTACTTTTTTTAATTAATTAATTTAAATAAATGAACTCCTTTTTAAATGAACTCTGTTACCGTTACCATATGGTGCGTTGTCCGTTACTTTTTTTAATTAATTAATTTAAATAAATGAACTCCTTTTTAAATTAACTCTGTTACCGTTACCATATGGTGCGTTGTCCATTACTTTTTTTAATTAATTAATTTAAATAAATGAACTCCTTTTTAAATTAACTCTGTTACCGTTACCATATGGTGCGTTGTCCGTTACTTTTTTATACGTTTTATACATTTATACGTGCTGAATTTTATAGGCCTAAAATATTGTTGAGTAATTCTGTGAATTAGGCCTACACTGCACAAACCAAAGTAATACTACCCACCGGATGAAGAAGGGTTGGCTCTCAGTCTCCACAGAACAAAATATTCATTTTATTTTATTTTTAGTGTTCGCATTTATGAGGAAAAAACAATGTTACGGACGTGACAGTTCTCCGTTACGGACGTGAGCGCTCTGAAAGCGGCACTAAAAGATGCTTTAATACTTGCAGAGACATCAAACAGAAAGCACAAAACCTTTCTTTAAAGTGAATTTCGTTTTGTATTAATTGTATCTTAATTTTAATCAATGTTTCATCAACCAATTGCCTGGATTTAATAAATAAGAAGTAAATATAGCAGACGATAGATAATCACGACACGGAGGCGCCGGCGCGTGAACTGGAGCTCGTCTCATAAATGAACCGAAACTCAGCGTATAAGGTAGCCTACTTGCCTCACAGACATTTCTACTTTTAAACAGAACAATTCAAAACGAAAGAAAACAGACTACAGACTGCTCTCTGCTTATGTAATGCGTATGAAATGTGCATTTCTCTCTGGCGCGTTCACTACTGCGAAGATCGCGAGTCACCTCAGAAATCCTTGTGAGTTTGTGCTGGTCTGACTTAAATAAAATCGTGTTTAAAATTACTTTCTGTTTAAGTCAGCTTTGTGTTTGTGTAGACCATAACGCATAATATAACGCTGGCATTAATGGGAACATTAAAAATGGGGGTTTTTTTTAAGTAACTAAAAAGTTACTTTTAACAGTAACGCATTACTTTTTGGTGTAAGTAATCAACGAAGTAATTGAGTTACTTTTTGAACGAAGTAACTAGTAACTGTAACTAGTTACTATTTCTTAGTAACTAGCACAACACTGAATATAACTGAAATAGACCAAATTCTATATTTAAACAACACCAAAACACAGGGTGAACCAACACCATGAAGATATGCGCTTCCCCTTTAAAAACAGGCTATATGCAGGATTTGGCATGGCAGAATTCTCGCAAAGAGCGCTCATTTTATTATCATTAAAAACGGTTCTACAACTTCATCGCACTCTCACAATGTTCCATTAGGCTATCAGTAAAGCTGATACACAATAATGTCTTATTAACATAGCTTATTATAACGAGAGGATTTGCGCGCTCATAGATCTAATGCACTCACCGCTCAAAACACTGGAATTTCGCCAATATTCTTTTATTACGGAGAAAACGGATCCTACACCAGCATTTATGGACAGCTTTTCCCTCTAAAAGCAATCAAGTATATGGAAGCTTGTTTTAGCCACGGAATAAAAAAAAATAGATAATTGCGACTTTTTATCTCACAATTATCTCAACGTTTCAGAAGGCCCCGCTGGAATAATTAGCGGCATATGTGTTGACTATACTTCAGTCTGTGTGTGTATAATAAAGTGTGTGTTGAACTCTGATCAGTTTGCGGTAGACAGTGTTCTGAAGCTCGGAGACTTCGACGAGCAGAAGATCGCTGTGATTGGAGGATCTCACGGTGGATTCCTGGCCTGTCATCTGATTGGCCAGTATCCTGAGGTTTACAAGGCGTGTGTGGCTCGAAACCCCGTCACAAATCTGGCCTCCATGATCGGCAGCACAGACATTCCCGACTGGTAATGTGACATGAACATCATCAGACTAAATTTCATTAGTGGTGAAATTACATACCAGGTTAAAGTTTTTTTTGCAATTCTTTGTATTCTCGGTGATGTGAAATATTAAAGTGCCCCTATTATACTTTTCAGGAAATTACCTTTCAGACATGACCTTTCATGCAGTGTGTAATAGAGCTGGTTGTGGATGTTAAAGGTCTGCAAAGATCAAAGTGTAGATTAATAAAGTTATCGTCTCCGAAACGAAAGGAGTGATTCTGAACTGAAACAAGTCGTCAGTAATTCTACTTCCTGCTGAACCTGCGTAGGTTTCTAACTAATTAGCATAATGCCCTCCTCTGGTGTTGATTGGCTGAGCAGCGTCTCTTAGCTCCGCCCTCAAACACTGTAGTGTGTCTGAGACTGGGAGAGTTCGGCTCGTGTCGTTCATGTCGAGAAGACGCTGTTTTCTGCTGACAAAGCAAATCCACTTTGATGGATAAAATAGCATAATAATGGCACTTTAATACAATACAATTATTATTATTTTATTTAAACAAGAATAAATTATAGGGAGTAGGTGCCTGATCCAATGTAATGCAAAAAAAGTAGGTTTTTCTCTTCGTTTCTTTTGCTCTGCAGTGAAGTAAGAGTAATGTATTGTGGTATTGTCCTGATGGCGGATTGTTTGTGTGTGTGTGTGTGTGTGTGTGTGTGTGTTCAGGTGTATGGTGGAAGCTGGATATGAATATAACACTGACATTCATATTGAACCTGCTACTCTGGAGCAAATGTTAAACAAGTCCCCAATAAAACACGTGAGCAAGGTGAGCGGAGGCATTATTTACTGTTTTGTATTCCTAATAATGGTCCGTTATTAATAAGTAACTATGCAGGACTCATGAGTAGCACTACATTAATACTTTAGCTTTACTATTAACTAATATAGAAACAAGCTTAAATAACCAGTAAGTAATATCACATTTAGGACTAAGACAGTTCCTTATTAGGTAATCAATAATTACTGAATGAGATTGGCATCATTAAGAACTAATATGAAATTGTGACAAATTATAAAGAAGTACTAATTAATTACTAATCGTAAGCAATCGTCTTTTTTTACTCTCAACGTGGTCATAAAATGCATCACTAATTACTCGAGTGTTGCCTAGTCACTCTTCAAGGACTACTAGCTTATCTTAAAGTGAAAAACATCACTAGTAGTTCCTGCACACTGACTTGGCAACACTTGAGTAATTAGTGATGCATTTTATGACTATATTCAGAGTAAACCGGAGGGGTAGAGGAGCGCATCCTGGACTCCAAAGTTTGATTAAGATAGAGGTGCTCTTTGGATGGGAAACTAAATACCAAAAATCAAAAAAGGGGGGACTCCAAGGCACTCTCAATTGAAAAAGTTAAAAAGCCTTTATTCTTATGGCTTGGTCAAATAAACCATCTAAAAAACTCCAACGCGTTTCGGCTACATGCCTTCTTCTGGGAGTCAAACTGATCTCACACAAACAGAGTTTCTTATGAACTAACAGTCCACCAATCAGAAGTCTCCATCTGTCAACTAGGGTGCTCAGATTACAATTGATAGTACACAAAAGGGACAGCAGATGTCATCATTTCCACTTCTTAACTAATCAATTAAATACACACCAACACGGCGACACATAAAAGTTCAAATACAAGCATAGTATATACATTTTAAACCACCATAAGACAACAGAACCTCACAGATATACACTGAGGTCAAGTTCCTCATTTAAGCCTGGATATTTAGTAACCTGCAGGCGATATATCCAGAAATCTTCCCGTTGATTCAGCTGTCTTTGCCTATTACCTTTTCTTAAGGATAAAGGAATGTGGTCAATCCCAGAAACCTGTAAAGTGGATTGGTCACTATTGTGATGTTCCATATAGTGTCTTGCCATGGGATAGTTGGTGTTACCTGTGTGGATTGCGTATTTTTGTTCAGCCAATCTATCCAGTAAACGCCGCTTAGTTCCTCCAACATAAAAGACTTTACACATAGGACATTCCAATCTATAAATGACAAAGGTTGTTTGACAATTTATGAAATGGTTAATGGTAAATTCCCTTTGGGTACCAACATCATGAAAAGATTTTGTTTGTCCCACCCTACAAGATAGATTGGTTCACAGTTATCTTAAACCAGAAGTAAAACAAACATGGTTAGGCCCTAGGCCCATAGGTTCTTACAAATGCCATCATTGCAATCATTGTGCTAATGTAAGACAAACAAAAATATTAGTTTTTTAGATGGTTAATTTGACCAAGCCATAAGAATAAAGGCTTGAGAGTGCCTTGGAGTCCCCTGTATATTCAGAGTAAACATGATGACTGATCATCTCAGACACACGATAATGTTCTTTATAATTTGTCAGTTAGCTAATAGTAATTAATGAGGCTAATCTCATTCAGTAATTATTAATTACCTATTAAGGAACTACCTCCTAAATGTGATATTACTGATCAGTGAAGCTTGTTTCTATATTAGTTAATAATAGTAGCTGAAGTGTTAATGTAGGACTACTCATCATTCCTGCATAGTTATTGTTAATGACAGTCCATTATCCTGAAGTGTTATTCTCGACTGCGCAGTGTGTAACGTTCATGCGTGTGTAACGTTCAAGCGTGTGTAACGTTCATGCATGTGTAACGCTCATGCGTGTGTAACGCTCATGCGTGTGTAACGCTCATGCGTGTGTAACGTTCATGCGTGTGTAACGCTCATGCGTGTGTAACGCTCATGCGTGTGTAACGTTCATGCATGTGTAACGTTCATGCGTGTGTAACGCTCATGCGTGTGTAACGTTCATGCATGTGTAACGCTCATGCGTGTGTAACGCTCATGCGTGTGTAACGCTCATGCGTGTGTAACGTTCATGCATGTGTAACGTTCATTTGTGTGTAACGTTCATGCGTGTGTAACGCTCATGCGTGTGTAACGCTCATGCGTGTGTAACGCTCATGCGTGTGTAACGTTCATGCATGTGTAACGTTCATGCGTGTGTAACGCTCATGCGTGTGTAACGTTCATGCATGTGTAACGTTCATGCATGTGTAACGTTCATGCGTGTGTAACGCTCATGTGTGTGTAACGCTCATGCGTGTGTAACGCTCATGCGTGTGTAACGTTCATGCATGTGTAACGCTCATGCGTGTGTAACGCTCATGCGTGTGTAACGCTCATGCGTGTGTAACGTTCATGCATGTGTAACGTTCATGCGTGTGTAACGCTCATGCGTGTGTAACGTTCATGCATGTGTAACGTTCATGCGTGTGTAATGTTCAAGCGTGTGTAACGTTCATGCGTGTGTAACGTTCATGCGTGTGTAACGTTCATGCGTGTGTAACGTTCATGCGTGTGTAACGTTCATGCATGTGTAACGTTCATGCGTGTGTAATGTTCAAGCGTGTGTAACGTTCATGCGTGTGTAACGTTCATGCGTGTGTAACGTTCATGCGTGTGTAACGTTCATGCGTGTGTAACGTTCATGCGTGTGTAACGTTCATGCGTGTGTAACGTTCATGCGTGTGTAACGTTCATGTGTGTGTAACGTTCAAGCGTGTGTAACGTTCATGTGTGTGTAACGCTCATGTGTGTGTAACGTTCAAGCGTGTGTAACGTTCATGTGTGTGTAACGCTCATGTGTGTGTAACGTTCAAGCGTGTGTAACGTTCATGCGTGTGTAACGTTCATGCGTGTGTAACGCTCATGCGTGTGTAACGTTCATGCGTGTGTAACGTTCATGCGTGTGTAACGCTCATGTGTGTGTAACGTTCATGCGTGTGTAACGCTCATGCGTGTGTAACGCTCATGCGTGTGTAACGCTCATGCGTGTGTAACGCTCATGCGTGTGTAACGTTCATGCGTGTGTAACGCTCATGTGTGTGTAACGTTCATGCGTGTGTAACGTTCATGCGTGTGTAACGCTCATGCGTGTGTAACGTTCATGCGTGTGTAACGCTCATGCGTGTGTAACGCTCATGCGTGTGTAACGCTCATGCGTGTGTAACGCTCATGCGTGTGTAACGTTCATGCGTGTGTAACGTTCATGTGTGTGTAACGCTCATGTGTGTGTAACGTTCATGCGTGTGTAACGTTCATGCGTGTGTAACGTTCATGCGTGTGTAACGCTCATGCGTGTGTAACGTTCATGCGTGTGTAACGCTCATGCGTGTGTAACGTTCATGCGTGTGTAACGTTCATGCGTGTGTAACGCTCATGCGTGTGTAACGCTCATGCGTGTGTAACGTTCATGCGTGTGTAACGTTCATGCGTGTGTAACGCTCATGCGTGTGTAACGTTCATGCGTGTGTAACGTTCATGCGTGTGTAACGTTCATGCGTGTGTAATGCTCATGCGTGTGTAACGCTCATGCGTGTGTAACGCTCATGCGTGTGTAACGTTCATGCGTGTGTAACGTTCATGCGTGTGTAACGCTCATGCGTGTGTAACGTTCATGCGTGTGTAACGTTCATGCGTGTGTAACGCTCATGCGTGTGTAACGTTCATGCGTGTGTAACGCTCATGCGTGTGTAACGCTCATCCGTGTGTAACGCTCATGCGTGTGTAACGCTCATGCGTGTGTAACGTTCATGCGTGTGTAACGCTCATGTGTGTGTAACGTTCATGCGTGTGTAACGTTCATGCGTGTGTAACGCTCATGCGTGTGTAACGTTCATGCGTGTGTAACGCTCATGCGTGTGTAACGTTCATGCGTGTGTAACGCTCATGCGTGTGTAACGTTCATGCGTGTGTAACGTTCATGTGTGTGTAACGCTCATGTGTGTGTAACGTTCATGCGTGTGTAACGCTCATGCGTGTGTAACGTTCATGCGTGTGTAACGTTCATGCGTGTGTAATGCGTGTGTAACGTTCATGCGTGTGTAACGCTCATGCGTGTGTAACGTTCATGCGTGTGTAACGCTCATGCGTGTGTAACGTTCATGCGTGTGTAACGTTCATGTGTGTGTAACGCTCATGTGTGTGTAACGTTCATGCGTGTGTAACGTTCATGCGTGTGTAACGTTCATGCGTGTGTAACGTTCATGCGTGTGTAACGTTCATGCGTGTGTAACGTTCAAGCGTGTGTAACGTTCAAGCGTGTGTAACGTTCATGCGTGTGTAACGTTCAAGCGTGTGTAACGTTCATGCGTGTGTAGCGTTCATGCGTGTGTAACGTTCAAGCGTGTGTAACGTTCATGCGTGTGTAGCGTTCATGCGTGTGTAACGTTCATGCGTGTGTAACGTTCATGCGTGTGTAGCGTTCATGCGTGTGTAGCGTTCAAGCGTGTGTAACGTTCATGCGTGTGTAATGTTCAAGCGTGTGTAACGTTCATGCGTGTGTAATGTTCAAGCGTGTGTAACGTTCATGCGTGTGTAGCGTTCATGCGTGTGTAACGTTCATGCGTGTGTAGCGTTCAAGCGTGTGTAACGCTCATGCGTGTGTAACGTTCAAGCGTGTGTAACGTTCATGCGTGTGTAACGTTCAAGCGTGTGTAACGTTCATGCGTGTGTAGCGTTCATGCGTGTGTAGCGTTCATGTGTGTGTAGCGTTCAAGCGTGTGTAACGCTCATGCGTGTGTAACGTTCAAGCGTGTGTAACGTTCATGCGTGTGTAATGTTCAAGCGTGTGTAACGTTCATGTGTGTGTAGCGTTCAAGCGTGTGTAACGCTCATGCGTGTGTAACGTTCAAGCGTGTGTAACGTTCATGCGTTTGTAACGTTCATGCGTGTGTAGCGTTCATGCGTGTGTAGCGTTCATGCGTGTGTAACGTTCAAGCGTGTGTA